AAAACATAGGCACATGCGATCAATTAAAAAAATGTTTCAAAAATTACAAACTTACTGACAATTAGAGCATCGTCAGTAAAAAAATTCGCTAGTTTTTTGTTAGAGTATTTGATAACAATAATACTTTATTAACCGCCTCCCCCATTGGTGCAGCATGTTAAACCACTGAACTGCTGAAGTTGCTGACTAAAAGGTTGGTGGTTTGAATCCGGGGAGTGGTGAACTTCCACTGTTAGCCCCAGTTTCTGTCAACCTAGCAGTTCAAAAACATGCAAATGTGAGTAGATTAATAGATACTGCTCCGGCGGAAAGGTAATCACGCTCCATGCAGTCGTGCCATGCAGCCAAACACATAACATTGGAGGCGTCTACAGACAATGCTGGCTCTTCGGCTTAGAAATGTAAATAAGCATCACACCCCACAGCTGGACATGACTAGACTTAATGTCATGGAAAAACCTTTACCTTTCCTTATTTCTAACCCACCCTCTCTCCCCCAAAGGGACTCAGGGAAACTTCCAAAAACAAAAAAGGCAAATGTGCAATAGAAATAAACAGAAACAAACAAATAGTTAAAACAACAGTTAAAAAATAAGCCAATTACTTTAACCCTTTTCCAACCTCAGAGCCATAAGTGCTATTGGGTTGCAATCCCCCATTATCCCCAGATGATAACACTGTGTAGCACAGTTTTTGTTCCTGGGTTATAAATGTCGTTTCCTAATTGGTTCCATGATAAAAACATGGGGGGGGGGGGAACGATTAAATTGCAAAAACCTTTTTTGTGAGACATCCTGCAGCACATTTTGCTATAGTTTTTCAATGACTATCTCATCAAGTCTCAACCGATTCAACTTAGTTTGTGGCAGCCACAAAACAAAAGTTTCTAGAGTATAACAACTACTTTCAAAGTAAATAATAATAAACATTGACAAAATCATGATCTGTCAACTGCAAAAGGCCACCTTACTTAGATCTGTGCGCATCATTCAAAACTACATCACAGTCCTAGACGCTTGGGAAGTGCTCGACTTGTGATTTTGTGATACAAAATCCAGCATCTAGATCTTGTTTGCTGTGACATACAATAATAATAATAATAATAAAAATTATTTATAGACTGCCCTATCTTCCCAAAGGGACTCAGAGCGGTTTCTAACAAATATGGCAAACACTCAATGCCCAAAGAAAAACCATACAAACAGTTTACATCAGGACAAGACACATTAGACAATATAAAACAACATAACAATAAATTAGTAATCAACATAGCAAGAAATAAAAATAAGAAGTAAAATAAAAATAAAGTAAAAACATCATAAAATAAAAAAGACCTCTGATAAAACACACTACATATAAAACCGAGTACATTGGAGCTCTATCAGGCAAGATTCAACAATAGAAATGGCCAGGAGTGCTAACATTGGTCCTAATTAATTTAAAAGACCTTGGCGAGGGATAGTGCAAACAGCATATCATAGGGCTGGGGAAGAGGATGAAGTGCAGAACAGAGGACTATCTGATGACCTAGGGACTGGACTTAGGGACTAATCGTTCTTGAAAACTTGCTGGAACATCCAGGTTTTCAGTTCACTATGAAAGGAGGACAGAGTGGGGGCTTGCCTAATCTTGGGGAGGGTGTTCCAAAACCAAAGGGCCACCACCTCTCCCTCATCCCCACCAGCCATGCTTGTGACAATGGTGGAAGTGAGAGGAGGGCCTCCCCGGCAGATCTTAGAGCCTGTGCTGGTTCATAGGGGAAGATGCAGTCACAAAGATAGGCAGGGCCTGAACCGCTTAGTACAGAACAATTAAACAGAAAATAGCACTTTCAAAATAGGAATGGTTTTTTGTTCAAACTTTGTTACATATTGTAATCAGTAGCGATGGAAGTTGTCATTTAATAATATCTGCGGACCAATTTTGAGTGAAGACTAAAGAGTGTTAACCACTATGTCACAAAAACTACAGTTGGCCCTCTTTATGCACAGATTTTCTGCCCGTGGATTCAGTGACCCTTTGAAGGCAACTATAAGGTTGCTGAAAATGAGTTGGGCTCCCCTGCCCTAAGGTCACCAGATCCTTTATCTGATCTTGGAAGCTAAGCAGGCTTAGCCCTAGTTAGTACTTGGATGGGAGACTATCAACAAATACTATGGGCAGCTGGCTGTATTTCAAAGGAGGGAAATGGCCCAAAACACCTCTGAGTTTTCCTTGCCTAATAAAACTCTAAGGAATTTATATAGTCATTATACATCAAAAGGTTATTGAAGACACACAGAGATACAGTGTGTCTGAAGTCTCCCCAGCCACCCCAGATTGTCTTTTTTCCCAGCTTATTGGAGAGAGTATTAATTTCTGCAAATGTTTCCCTTTTGCCTTTCACGGCCTTTCTGTTTAGAAATAGTGAGAATTTTCTTTCCCTCTTATTTCTTGTACAGATGAGGTTTCACCTTAGATCAGAGCAGTGCAGAACAGTCTTCTGCAGTTAGAATTTCATTGACAGATTTTCAGAAAGTTTAAAAGCTTCAGGATTGAACAACATTTGCTTGCCAGGATAGATCTTATGGATTTCCAGGTGCCGTATGAAATTGAGTCTGCTGTTCATCATGGATTTCCTTGCATTTACTAGAATTTAAAATCTCGTTAAGGTGCAACTTCTGACTCCGTTTAACAAAGAGTGCACCTGTCAGCTTTAATTGAGAAATATCCATGTCAGCCTAATTGCATTCACATTAGTATTAAGTGTTAATTTCAGTTAGCCTCAGAAATTAGAAGGATAGTTATTCCATAAAGCCTGGCCAACAAGTAATAGAGATATTCCTTTTCTGTGAATTTGTCCGATTCTAGCTTTCATGATACAAGACCCACTGAAATCCTGTTAATTATTTGATGGACTAACAGTGGGGACATCACATTTAGAGCTCATCCCTACTAGGCATTATAAGCTTGTAATGCATTCAGAACATCTGTTCCCTGTCAGTGTTAAGATTATAGCCATTCAGGAGCTTTGAAGGAGTAATCCCTTTTTGATAGTTTTGGGACTATTTATATAAAACACACACCCCACCCCACCCCAATTATGCATGCAGAAATCCTATCCAACTCAGCAGGTATGACTCTCTGGCAAGATTTCCATTCTTTAGCCTTTCATAGACTCCATGATTTCTTGGTCTTCATTTAACAGACTATAGATTAAAAAACCCTTTCTTTCATTGGATGGTAGTAAAAATGATGTGTAAGAAAAACAAGTGAATCCATATTTGGGACAAAATGGGTGATGGAACTGAAGGGTAGAAAGACAGGGCAGAACATTTATTTACTTGTATACCGCAGTTTCTCAGCCCGTAGGTGACTCAACATTCAATCAATAATGTTTTGTGTGAGTACTCCAAGAAAGAAAGAAAAACAGTCTACTTTTTAATGCATTGGCTTTCAAACTGTCTGTTTTAATTTTCTGTCCGGAGTACTCACATCAAATGTGTTTGACTGAATAGGCACTTTTGTCTGTCCTGTGCTACTCAAACACTTATTTTCCATGGCAACAAAATATTGCCTGCAGAGTGATGACTTTAACCGTGACGCTGCAGAACAGAAAGTATTTTTATTGGGAAATTGTTCTTATTTTCACATTCTAAAAGCCACAAGTGAAAAAAAAATCAGAAATGTTCCAACGCAGTAAATTTGCTTGAAATGTACTGGTTGAAAGATTGCCCTCCACCCCTAGAATGTGACAGAAATATGACACCTTATAGCACCCTATTATTAATATTAATATGTCAATATACCTTAAATGAAGATATCTCCCAACATTAGAATTCTATTATTATTATTATTATTATTATTATTATTATTATTATTATTATTTATTCAAAACACAACAAGATGAGTCCACAGCAGACAAGATCACTCTGCTGGCTGTTGTATTGGATCACACGTCGGACACTTTCCAAGTGTCTAGGACTGTGTGATGTATTGGTGAAGAATGCATGCAGATCCCAGTAAGGTAGCCTTCTGCAGCTAGCAGATGGTAATTTTGTCAGCGCCAATTGTGTTTAAGTGCAGGCCAAGGTCTTTAGGCACTGCACCCAGTGTGCCTATCACCACTGGGACCACCTTGACTGGCTTGTGCCAGAATATTTGCAATTCAATCTTTAAATCCTCATATCGTGTCAGCTTTTCCAGTTGTTTCTCTTCAATCCTGCTGTCGCCTGGGATTGCAACATCAACTATCCAGACTTTGTTTAATTATTATTATTATTATTATTATTATTAATTATATATCAACAGTAAATGGGTGCATTCACATATTAATTTGTGTCCCTTTACATACTAATTTCTTCCCATTTTACTAGCTTCCAAAGCAGGTATAATGCGGACTCTGTATCCTCTAGCATCTCTTTCCCCAGATTAATTTGATTTGTAAAAAAAAAAGGATGTGATTATGTAAATCCCAATTTTAAATAAACCTGTTTGAAGCTAAGGAGTTGGACACACTGTGAAACAGAACAAACTCACAAAAGAGTAAACCTTGATCAATCCAACTGAAAAACACAAAATGAATCATGAAATCTTATGAAACTTCACTTGCTTCCACATCAGGCAAAAATGTTACAGATCATACAGCAGAAAAATGACAATGTTAGAGTGATAGCCTACATTGTGTCTCAGTTGTTACGTCTGTTATTAGTTAAGATGGTCTGGAGGTCTACAGTTCATTCTGAGTCATTTCTCATTGTGCTTAAGTGCACTCGTTTAAACAGACTACCTAATTCAGTTTGGGCTCCACCAGCTGTCCTGTAGTCTACTACTAAAGTCTCTGACAGCAATTTGTAAACCACTTTTGCTCTGTGTGCACATTGTCTCTCTTCTCACAACAGTCCTGTAAAATAGGAAAGGATTGTGACTTCCTAAGAAAAACTTGGTACCTCGTGATTCACTGGGGATTAGAATCCTGCTCTTCCCTGTTTAACAAAGGCATTCTGTCTTATTTTCACCAGAATTTGTATGAGGATCAACTGAAGCTGGCTCAGTCTGATGTATTGCTGGGTGAACAACCGTCTGAATTGAATAACTCAGAAGTGGTGGAGAAAATCAACTGTTTAAATGCTACCAACAAGGTAATTCAGGATTACCATTTTCCTTCTGCTAGTTGCAGCAAACACCTATTTCACTGGAGGATATGAGAAATTTACACATACACAAAACACACATGTATACCCTTCCTGCAGCAATCCCCAGATTTCAGCTGTTTGTAACAAGATGTGTAAACCTTTCAATTGGTGCATGCTGAAGGGTGTGTAGGTCAGCATGTGTGCATATTAGAAATTTACTAAAGAACTGTTAGTTTCAAAGTTCAGATGCCAGTTCCAGTTTATGCAAAACTGAATCTCAAGTCTCGTTTAATAATGTTATTTTAATTGGCATAATTCTTCACCTCTGTTATATACAGGGTGAGGCAGCATAACTTCCTTTTTTAAAATGCGCGCCATTCAGTCAGTTGAAGACATAGCGGAGCGCTAGTGGTCTCGTTCAAGAGGCGGGAGTATAAAGTTTTGTTCTGACACAGTTCAGTCGCCATCATGCGTTGGAACAGTGAGAAGAGTGCTTTTGCCGTTGAGGCCTACTTTTCTAGTGGATTTGGAGTGACCGACCCGCTCTCCAGATTTGACCCCTTGTGATTTTTTTCTATGGGGTTTTTTGAAATCATTTGTTTATGTGAACCGTTCAAGGACCCTGCAAGATTTGAAGACAAAGATCCAGGAAGAAATTGCCAAAATAACACCTGCTATGCTGGCAAGAGTCATGACAAACGCCAGAAATCAGTTTACTCAGTATATGGAGAATGGGGGATGTCACCTACCTAATTTGATCTTCAAAACTACGTAAAACAAAACTTTAGGTATGTGCCTACATTATAAGAAAAATAAAAATTTCTGATTCATACAATGGGTTTTATCAAGTTTTGAAAAAAGGAAGTTATGCTGCCTCACCTTCTATAAGCTTCAGACTGGAAGATAAAGAAATGTAGCAGTTCAGCCATGAACAGATTGAATATCCCTTATCCGAAATGCTTGAGACCAGAAGTAATTTGGACTTTTTAAGATTTAGAATACTGCATTACCATATATGTATATAATGAGATATCTTAGAGATGGAATCAAAGTTTAAAACAAAATTAATTGGTGTTTCCTGTACATCTTATACACATACCCTACAGGTAATTTTATATAATATTTTGAAATTAAAAGTTAACATACACTGAACAGCCAGAAAGCAAAGGTGTCACTATCTCAGCCACCTGTGCAGACAGTTTCAGATTTTGGAATTCTGGATATGGATACTCAACCTGTGTCATTATGCACAAAGGCTTAGTTATACAAGAAGAATTCTTCTGTTTTCTCCATCTGCCATTTCTGACCTTTGAAAGCAAAACAAGGCAATGTTTTTATGAAATCTGTCAGTTCTCAGTGAAGAACTATCATATAAGCCGATCTGAGTCCCTCTATGGAGGTAGAGAAGATGGGGATATAAAAGTTTTAAATAAATAAATACTAAATATAATGGTGTGTGGTTTATATGCATTCCACCTCATGATAGTCTTCTCTGTCCATTTCTTTATTTTATTAATAAGAAATGTGCAAAACCAAACATGTCTACAGTATTATTCACATGGAGCTATGTCAGGGATGGTAGTAAAAGTATGCACTCAGCCAAGCATAAGAGCAAGCTAAAGGCATCTTGGGCTTGCCCTAGTTTTCACCACTGAAAGCATGCATGCACGAATGGATATACTATACATACAGAAGATAATAATCCATTCATACAACAGTAAAAAATACCAGAGTTCTTAATTTCTTCAGTCATTTCTATTCTTGTATGTTCTTGTAATCAGAAACTGCCTCTTAGCTTCATACAGTGGAGTGAAATGTGCTGCTGCTCCCCATCACTCCTAAAACCTAGGGAAACCCACCTTATCTCCCATCTGTACTCTTGTCTTTGACACATTCCTGAAGATCACTTTATTGAGTGTACAGGCAGTCCCTGAGTTACAAACATCCAACTTGCATACAACTCGCACTACAGAATGGGGATGAAACAACAGGAAGTGAGAGTAATCTGCCTCTTGGAAGGGAAAAATCACCCCTGAAAATGTTATAATGGGGAAAAGGTTTCTCCACTGAAGCTTTATCACCAATCCTTGTTTCCATAACAAGCCATTTTTTTCCCCAAAATCCAGTTATAGAGACAGAAAGAGAGGTAAAATCTTCTGAACAAGGACACAGACAGAAAAACAAACACCACAAGGGTGTTAACCCTTCCCTATGCTATCCAAAATTTGTGTGTGTGTGTAAACACACGCACACACACTTGGCTGGAATTAGATTTTTAAAATGTACCAGTTCCAACTAACATACAAATTCACCTTAAGGACAAACCTACAGAACTTCTCTTGTTCGTATCTTGGGGACTTACTGTACTTGAGCATTCTGATTGTTTTGACAGTAAAATAAATAAAATGCTAACACAATTGAGGAAATTAGAGGAGCAGTCTATTTGGAGCTGAAAAACACAAAAGATGGACCAAAATTTAATTTGCTATATGAAGCACCTTTGAATGCAACCCTTACCACTTGAAAGGGTGGGGCATAGACTTTCAAATGATTACCACTATTTGCCTCTCTTAGACCACAAACAGCCCCTCACCTCAGTCATTTGTAAGATGGCAACTCACAACGTAAGGCCTAATGAGATATTCTCCATTTGCACGGTTATTTTTAAAGATTTGTTTTTTGGTTCGAAATGGTCTGTAAAACTTGATACTGTGATAATTCATTAAATTGTTACCTTTTTATGTCATTGTAACATGTTGCCATCATGAAATATACAGCTTTGAAATTGGGTCCATCATTTTGAAGCATCCTGTACATTTAACTCTGCAAGTATGGGGTTACAAAGTTACATAGAGAAAAAAACTGAAATAGTAAAAAAAGTAATCCAAAAGTCCCCTAAAACATGAAGCATGGATTTAAAAAATACTTTAAAAGTAAGGAGTCACATAAATATGTATTGCTGTTATTGAGTATTGCTCAATATATAATGAAAAGTCAAAATAACATAATTGGCATATGCATGACCTAATTTGTTAAAAACATGTATTTATGGTTTTCAGCAGCTACAAGAAAAACTGGATGAGATGACTTTTGAACTGAGGTCTGTTCAGCATTCATCCCAGATGCAGGGTCACAAAATCCAGCATTTGAATGAGACCTTGAAGAGCAAAGAAAATGAGGTTTGTAATGTTACCATAGCCTTGTGCAATTAATGCTGATATGGAAGTGGTCACTGAAGAGCAAACTCCTTTGTTGCTTAGCACAGCATATTATGTTTTCTAAGCATCGTGAATTTGCTTCCAGATAAAAGCGACACTGAAAATATTGTATTGCTAGAATACTAGACTTTTAGTCGAGATTATATCCTGACAGTTAGACAAAAGAGAGCTTGTGCCACCTGTTTCTAGTTCACTTGCTAATTTTAAATTACTTAATCCTGTAGTGTCAACAACTAAACGATATAATTGGTGAGCAGAATGAGACAGTAACCAAGCTGCAGGACATGCTACACAGAAGCCAGCTTGGACAATTGCAGGTATGGATGTTACTTGAATATTTCTTGCCCTACCTCAGTTTTTAAATATGTTCTGATGTTTAGAACATTACAAACAAATTAGTTCTCTCTTACACAGGCATACACACATAGAAAGCCCCCATTAGATTGCAAAAAGATATCAAACCCAACCACGACGATGATTTTTTTTTTTTTTTTTTTGCATTTTTGAAGCAGGAGAATGCCATTCATTTTGAAATACTTTGTGCCTTTGTTGTGAGCCACCTTGAGTCCCCTTCGGGGTGAGAAGGATGGGATATAAATGTGGTAAATAAATAATAATAAATAACAAAAATATGTATTCTTTGCCTAAAGTGCAGAGTTATGGTGTGCAGATAGAATAATAAAGTGATGTAGAGTCCATGAGAAGATTGGAGAATATATATGGGCCTGCCTATCAAAGGCTGTAAAACAAAGGTGTGGCAAGTGTTCCATGAAAGTTAGGAGGCCAGTACTACAGCTGAGAGAGTGGTGGAAGCCACCATGTTGAAAATGACCAAACCATAAATCAACCAGGTCGAGAAGCGATCAAAATCATCTGGCCTATATTTTTATGTTCTAGAAAGCTATATTAACATAGTTCATTACATAATATTCACACTTTGGAAAAAAATCTGCATGTGATTCTCTAGTCTCTGGTTTTTTTTTATTAAAAAAAACTGCCTTGGAGGAGAAGGGAGGATGATCCACCTCAAACCATCACTGTTTGTTTGTTTGTTTTTAAGCTGCCTTGCCTCAAAGAAAGGAAAAAATAAGATCCCCCCCCTCCCTCCCTCTTTTCTTCCAAAGGCAAGGCAATTTACAAAATCTGAAATGGAGCTCTTTGTAGGAAGGAGGGAAGATTTGAATTCCAGAGACCTCCATTTAAGGTTTTAATGCTGCCTTGTCTGGAAGGAAGGAAGAAGGAACGAGCCCTAAATGGCTCTGTGACTATTATGCGAGAAACACAAAAATACCCAATTTTGCCACCCAAAAAATGATGGTGCAACTATTACACAGTGTCAACTATTATGTCATGAAATATTGTAATTATCTGATAAAGTGATGGAAACCTAAGTGATGTGAATGTGCTTTTTTAAATATTTCACTGACCAGTGTTTTCTCAGCGTAAGCATGTTTTTGTTCTCTGTTTCTGTATCTTGTTAGATCCCTGAGGGTTCTTCCACATTGCAGCAACAGCAAATAGGGCTTCTTACTGTGCAGAACACGCTTTTTTCAACTCAGTTAGAAGTGCAGCGACTGAAGAGAACTCAGCAGCAAAAAGATCGTCAGTTGCTCGAAGCAAAAAAGACCACACAGTTGCTAGAGACAATGTTACAAGAAGAGCAGCAACAGAAGGAGGAGGCCTGGAAACACAATAAGGTATAGAAGGAGTTGTCAAGCCAGGCATGAGCAAACTTGGCCCTTCCGGGTGTTTTGGACTTCAACTCCCACAATTTCTAACAGCCAGTAGGCTGTTAAGAATTGTTGGAGTTGAAGTCCAAAACACCCGGAGGGTTGAAGCTTGCCCATGCCTGTGTTGAACCCTTTTCACATGTAGAAATGCTAATATTCAAATAGAGTTGGACAACCGAACTTCACATTTCACTTGGATATCTCTGGTACATTTACTGATGTATATCTTATTTTGAGGACCAGAGTGTGTGCATCTACATTGTAGATTACCATCATTTTACACACCATCAGGGCTAACAGCCAAATAATGAATCTTTGTGTTCAGATTGTGGCAATGTGGCCAAACTGGCTAGATGCTGGTAGTATGAACAGATTTGCGAATCAATACTGTATCTTCCATTGTAGCTGCAGTTCTTTCTGAGCATCCCAGAGAGCTTTTGATGGGTTCCCAGAACTTGACCAGCTAATGAAAATTGCATCTTACTTTTCAGGAATTGTGCGCCACTGTTCAGCAATTAAAAACAGAGCTGCAGGCCAAGAACTGGCAATATTCTACTTGGGAGAGGAACACCTCATTGGAGATGGAGCAACAAGAGCAGAAAATTAAGCATTTGAATCACAAACTGACTTTCAAAGAACAGCTTATCCAGGTGAGATATAGAGATAGTGATGGGCTTACAGGCCCTGAATACAATAAAACCGCCCTGGATTTCATGTGTGTTTTATGTGTGGTGTGTGTACAGGAAAAAGCTTTCATTAGAAGATTCCCTTCCCCTCAAACCCTCACCCAAACTGGAGCTACATCAGTCATTGGGCTGATGGTCCTGGATCCTGGTAATTCTGCTAGCTAATTTTCTATGGTGTGTGGGATTGTGTTCTCCAGTGTGGTAAGAGGCTATGTTGATAGTAACACTGCTGGTAGAGTCTAAAGAAGGGATTGAAGCTATTGAAATAGTTAAAAGTTTGTAATTGAAGGTTTATAACTTTCAATGCTAATCTTATTTATTTATTTATTTATTTACTCTATTTGTATCCTGCCTTTCTCTACCCTGAAAAGGGGGGGGGGGGTATAAACCTTCAATTGCTGAAATGTATAGGTTACTGCTGGAAATGGAAGATTAAAATTATGAATAATGTATGATTAAGTGGGTTTAGAATACTGGACATAATATTCAGGTGGATCAGTGGAAGAAAATGAATGAAAGGTTTAAGGTTGACTTTAACTAAGGACTTCAGAGAAAAAAAGTATGAGATTGTGTATAGATGGCATTTGATACCAGAATAAATATCTAAAATGTGTTCATCAGCTTGGCAAAAATTGACAAGCTCCCCATTCACCAGATCAAATGTATAAGAGAGGTCTCTATACTTGCACAATAACAGGCACCACAAATGACTGCACTTCTGTTACTGTTTCATGTTAACATTGTTTCCTAGCAAAATTGTGTCTTTTCTCTGAAGTTTATTTAATGACCTTTGACTGTTTTGTTACATTGTGGTGGTGCTGATATATTTTCTAGGAATCTAAGGAACTCCTGTTATATCTCCAAAAGAGGGATAGCAACTCCACATCTGCTGATAAAATGGTGCAGCGGTTACAACAAAGAATTAAAGACAGAGATGCTGCCTTGGAGGTACTGACTAAGACTGTGTTGTTTGGTTGTTTGATGAGGGATTATGCTAACTTATATCAACGCAACTATGCTCTTTTTTCCTCCTGTCTGGCACTTTAAATTGGGGAAAGGAGGGGAAATACAAATAATTATGAGAAAGACTCGGGCATATGAAGTGTGAATGTTGTTTGCCTTTGTGGCTGTCTGGCACTCCCTATATGGATGTTTTCTATTGTAGCGAGCAGTAGATGAAAAGTTCAGTGTCCTTGAAGATAGAGAACAAGAACTGCACCAACTTCGTTTGTCTGTGAAAGAGCGAGAGCAGGATCTGGAAAGGCTGCACCAGGTTCTTTCTGGTAACAAGGTTACCATCCAGGTAGGTCACAACAGCATAATGCTTGTTTTATCCTTTCTGTCTGCCATGACTTCCTACTTGTTGTGGTGGTGGTGTTTATATATAGCAGATATATAGCAGATTTTCAAGTATATTAAAAAGTATACATAAGAAAAAAAGAAAGAGTAAGAATGTAAATAGAGAGAAAAGGAATGAGGAGAAAAGGCAGAAAGATAAAAGTGACCTCATTTTATTTTCAGCCGTTGTTTAAACATATACTGTAAACAATGAATATCCATCCCACCTAATAGCTGGTGTCCTCTTGGTATAAAATCTACTACTACTACTCAGAATCAAAACTTGTTAAAACGTTGTTAATTTCTACAAAAAGTCAACAAAGGGTTAGTGATTTTGTCAAAAATTGGCAAATATTGGTCTAAATAATTTGTATCCACTGACATACTTAATCAAAGACCTCTGCATACATTTTACAGGAAATATATCCTAATAAAAAATCTCAGTTCTTCCATCTTTATAATAAGTCAGCTTTCAATCTTTTTCTGAACTTGCAAACATCTCTTCTTATTACACAGCTCAACAAAAAAAATCTTGGTGTCTTGTTTGACAGGCCTGTTCCTTCACTAACCCCCAAAATATAACCTGTAGTTTATATTTTGGAGGAAATATAAACTATACTGAAATGTATTGTCGAAGGCTTTCATGGCCGGAATTACTGGGTTGTTGTAGGTTTTAGGGCTGTATGTCCATGTTCTAGAAGCATATTTTCCTCTTTCAACTTTTGTCCTGACAAAGCTCTCCAGAAATACCCTCTTCTGTCTAATATTAAATCATTTGATTTCAACAGATTGCTCCAAAAAAACCTCCCCAATATCCCACACTGTTAATCTTTTCCCCTTGACAGTAGCAAACCGCCCCAGTCCGTTTCAAATTTGTCCCATCCACGTAAACCTCAGTCTCTTCCAAAGTTGTGCTCCAACTTCTCTTTATCAACATCTAGTTGACCAGCTCTCAAAACAGTTTAATTTCTTCAGGAACTGTAAAACCTTTTTCCATTTTCCAAGTTGATTGATTTCCTGTCTACTTTTTGTCCTGTAAGGACTTGGAGAACATGCTGAAAGCCAAGGACCTGGAACTTGAGCATCTCTTGGCAACCTATCAAAATTTGCAGTGGCTGAAAGAAGAGATTGAAGCAAAATCACGGAGATGGCAGTCAGAGCAAGGAGGAATTATCCAACAACTGCAGACAGCTCTTCATGACAGGAACAAGGAAGTAGAAGTAAGAATTGTGGTTTGGCCTCTGCATTAGGATGATAATATGTGGGGGGCACTGAAGCTATTGCCCAATCTATCTCACTAGCTGCTGCCATTGGACTTGACTTATTTGGTGTGTATAACCAAGGCATCTCTGATACAGTTGCCAAAATAGAAACAGAAAGTGGCCATTGCCACAATTAACCATGATGCATTGCCATAAAAGGTGCTGGTACTGGGCCAAGATCCCCGATAGATTGAAGTACAAAAAATCTGCTACTTCTGTTTTGCAGCTGTGTCAGCAGTGAAGCCTTCAGACCTGTGGAGATATAAGTCCTGTTTTCTTCCTTCCTCCTTATCTTTGTCCTCCCTCAGGTCCTCTCAGCAACACTGCTGTGCAAGCTGGCGCCTGGGCAGAGAGACACAGTGGAAGAGCTGTACTTTCGCCTTCACAAAAAAGAGAAGATAATTGAGGAACTCCTCCACGACAAGAGCTTGCAGACTATAGAACAAGTGACTGAACTTCAGGAGTTGCTTCAGGCAGTGAGCAGCAGAGAACAGCAGAGTCATGTAAGTGCAGGAGCAGCTCAGTTGATTCTCATTTTTCTTACCTGCTCCAGTGAAGTTCATTGCAAACAAGTCATGGATAGTATTGTTTAGTATTGCTCAGGGGTTTTGCTGATCTGGAAATAGGTGTTTGTTGTGTTCTTCAAAAGGCTGCACTTTCCCTTTAAAATTAGTTTTTTAATTTGTAAGTAGCCTTGATTCTAACACTTTTCCTGGAGAACCAAGGAGACTTACCTTCAAGCAGATGGATGTGGTCATGATTGGGCACCCCCTAGTTATTTCAGAATTATGTTAGTGCATTATATGCTTTGTTGGGTGCAAAACAGAGAGTAACATAGCATCTGTGCTGGTGTCCAGTTTTATTTCTGGTATACATTTTCTAAGTAACTTTTCTTTAAGGGTTTGCTCAAAAAATATACATCTGCCAAGCCCTTGAAATTAACTTTTGAGAAAAGACTTTATGCACAGGTCTGAAGACATACAATGTTGAGGTATTCACTTTAAAATATTAAAACAAACAGCAAACAATTTTTTGGATATAAAGTGGAAGAAAAAATATTAAATTTAATAATAATAATAACAACAACAACAACACTTTATTTATATTCCACCCTTCTCACCCCGAAGGGGACTCAGCATGGATCACAGCACACATACACGGCAAACATTCAATGCCACTTTGTATAGACAATACACAGACAGACAGAACAGAAAGGAGGTGTTGTCGACTCAGTGTCCAGCCACAGGGGTGCTGTTGCTCTATTCTCTATGACTAAGAGCCATCAGGACTTCCTCCTTCCTTTTTGGTCACCCAGCATTTTCTGATCTTCTTTATGGTGTCGTAAAACACCTCCTCCGCTTCTAGTGGTACCTAATTTCTGTAATTACTGCTAATGCTGTTTTCAACTGCTTAGGTAAATAGTGAGCAGGGCTGACAATCGACCACTCACGCCGACCCAGGGCTTCGAACTTGCAACCTTTCGGTTGACAGATCTTATAGTTGCTGGTGATTTACCAGTTGTTCTAAACCTCCGGCCTAAATTTCTGGAGGAACCAATAAAAGCTAGAAATCCATTTTTTAAAGTAATTTATGTTATAGAGTTAGAGTTATAAGAAGAAATGTAAAATAATTGTCTAAATCTGGCTATATCAATGCACTTACATAAGTATTGTTGCTTTTCTTTTTGTATGTTTTTATTGTCAAAAATGTTAATTAAAAATATTGAGGAGGACAAGAAATTCACTTTTGAATTGTTCTTTGCCTCTTCTTCCTCTGGAAGTGTGGCAAGTGAGCATGAAGATCAAGGCTTTGCTTGAGTTGCTTCAAGACTGCAGTGTACTGCCAAAGAAAAACACATGGTCCCATTGTTATTATTATTATTATTATTATTATTATTATTATTATTATTTGTTTGTTTACCATATTTGTACCCTGCCCTTCCTAACGCCGAGGGGGACTCAGAGTGGCTTCACATATCAGCAACAATTCAGTGCCTTAAAAACATACAATTGGTAAAAACATCTACATTAAAACAGAGATTTAAAACACTTCATAACAGTTACATCAATTATTAAAATCACATAATCCAATGTCATAGTCCAAGGCCATTCCAAAATGTCATTGCACAGATTCTTTGTTCATTTATTCCACTGCAGTTAATCTCCAAAAGCTTGGTCCCATAGCCTTGTTTTAACTTTCTTCCTGAAGGCTAAAAGGGAAGGAGCTGATTGAATAACACTGGTGAGGGAGTTCGATAGCTAGGGGGCCACCACTGAGAAGTCCCTGTTTCTCATCCCCACCAACTGTGCCTGCAAAGGAGATGGGACCGAGAGCAGGGCCTTCCCAGAAGATCTTCATCTCCACAATGGTTCATAGAGGGAGATACGTTCGGATAGATAAGCTAGGCCGGAACTGTTTAGGGCTTTATAGGCTAAAGCCAACAATTTAAATTGTGCTTGGTAGCAGACTGGCAGCCAGTGGAGCTGACGTAAAAGAGGAGTTGTATGCTCCCTGTACCCTGCTCCGATGAGAAATCTGGCTGCCGCCTGTTGGACCATTTGGAGCTTCCGAACAGTCTTCAAAGGCAACCCCACGTAGACCATGTTGCAGTAGTCTATTCAGGATGTAACAAGAGTGTGGACTATCGTGGCCAAGTCTGGCTTCCTATAACCAATATTCTTTTGATGAGCAAGCAGCTAATCTTTCCTTTTTCAACAAGCCTTCTGGGAGGCGGCTTTTTGAAGCAGGGTTATGACTGTTCTTATTTTAAAATTTGGAGATGCTGGTTTGTGTAGCCTTTCAAATTTTTTGTCTCAGATATGTGAATTTTTATACATGCCTGCCACATTGAAAAGACATACATAAACTTGCACACCACAATTAGATGGGGTTTTGATTCATCAGCCATCTAAATCTTACGGTCATATATCTTGAAACGTGGTTTGCGTGCCAGTAGTTTATTATTTTCTACTTTTTGTCTCATTAGATATCTTCTAAGAAGATGGTACAAGCTCTAAAAGAAAGAAGTTTTGAGCTGCAAACTCTTCGTCAGCAACTGATGAGCCAAACTTTCCCACCAAAAATGAATGCTTCCTGTGTCCAGCTCATACAAAAAGAGGAGTCTGTTGAAGTAAGAATGTTTGTCTCTGAGAAAGTATCCTAGTAGCATGGCCTGGTTCACATGGCAGAAGGCCTTCTACAGAAACGTAATAATGAAAAATATTTTCATGGAAATGTATTGGGATTGTGATGTGAGTTAAGGAAGGAGCCCCCCAGCACAATTTGTTTTACAAATCCTGATGTGATTTTATACTGTAGCAATAAAGATTGCATCAGATGTATTGAGGCAAACTCTGTTAGGAATGGTGTCCCAAAGTCTTCCATTTCCTTGAGGACCATCAGCCATGCTGCCAGATTACTCTAGGTCAGGGGTTCCCAATTAAGGCCCATGGACTGGATGCGGCCCTCCAAGGTCCTTTACACATCCGCCATCCTAAACATTAGGCTTAGGGTTTCCCTAAGTCTGAAATGATTTGAAGGCACACAACAACAACTACAATCCCAATTAAGTTGACTTTCATCAGCCACACTTCCCATTCAAATACTGGTACAATCACAGAGTTTGGAAGAGACCACATGGACCATCTATTCCAATCCCCTGATATGCAGGAAAAGCACAATCAAAGTACCCCTGACAGATGGCCATCCTGCCTCTGTTTCGAAAGCTTCCAGGGTACATTTATGTTGGTTACATTTGTTCTTCATTCTAAATAGTGTATTGTTACATATTTTTCCACTACAAATATGTGCTGTGTGCATAGGAATCAGGTCATGTTTTTTTTCAAACTAACAATTTTTTCTTGACCCTGCAAGCTGCTATAGATTATCTTAAAATTATTTTACTCATATTATGCATTGTGGTGTTGTTGGTTTTTATGAGCTTTGTGCTTGTTTAGTAACTTATGAGTTTATAATAATGTTAACTTGCATTGTTTTTGACTTATGTGTTTGTTTATCACCAAGGCATTGAATGTTTGCCCTTTTTTCCTGGAAGCCACCCTGAGACCCCCTGGGGAGATAGAACAGCCTATAAATAAGGATGATTTATTATTATTATTATTATTATTATTATTATTATTTGAAACACAACAAGATGAGTCCACAGCAAGCAAGATCATTATTATTATTTTGGTCCCCCAACAGCCGAGGTACCATAAAGCAATCCTGTGCTTAAAAAGTTTGAGGATTCCTACTCCAGGTTGTAATTATCAACCAATTTGGCCTGGACTTGGAAATTCAATTCATGCCTTCAAAAATCATACTGTATTAGTAAATGACATGCTCATTTATGTCCTTAGACACTGAAGCAAGGAAGTTTAAGCAATACCATAGTCTCTGAAGAGGAAAATGATGGACCCAAGATGGGAAAAGGTTGGTTTGTTTGCATTATGATTCACAAAGCCCACATGCACATACATTTGGTTGCTGGAGACCACTTTGTCTTGAAGAAGTCTTCCACATGGATGTGAGGAAAATATCAGTGAGAAGGCTGGATTAGATTTTTTTTAATATAAAACAGAATCTTTATTTATTCTCCTATGGGAAAGACATTGGAGGAACCCATTTGCATAAAATAATGGCCAGCCCTCTATATCCAAACTTTCGGCATCCATGCATGCAACCATCCATTGCTAGAATATATTCATTGTTTTCCCAAATAGCAAACCTTGAAACAGATTTGATTTCTGGTAGATCACCAATACCAGGAAACGGATAGTGTGACTACCAATTTTCAGTATCTTTGATAATGGTAAATTTCTGGTCCATTTTTGAGATGGGAAGGGGCTCCAAAAATGTCATTTTTTTCTTCATTCCTACTTCCTGACCATGGTTGGAGACAAGAGATGTTCAGACCGTCATAGAATGGGGCTAAACATACCCAAAAGATGGAAGCAGTAAAGTTCTCAACATTTTTATAGGGAAGTCTCTTTAAATTAATTGAGATTAGTATGGGAATCTTTAAAGAAGAGAGGTGAATCCTCAGTAGACGACTTGGGGCAAACTTTTCTAGGTCAGCTACATAGAAAAGTGTGACCATGGATGTGTGTAATACCAACCTAAAATTGTGTTTACTTTCCCTTCAGGTGTTCTGGAGACAACTCTTGGGCTTCAAAAGGAACTCATTAATGCTAAAGAGAAGCTTGAGCTGTTGACACAAAAAGAGAGGGAAAGCAGAGTAAGTCCTGAAATATCTGAGGTTGCTTCCAACATGGCATAGTTCTGGGTTTCTTCTTGGCATGGGGACGAATGCCATGAGCCAGGTTACAGATCTGGTATTTCTTCTGTTTCTCTGCTAGTGTTCAGCAGAAATGGCATGATGGTTCACTTAGCATTTGGCTTTGTGTGTTTGGATGTTTCCAAAATCTGTTTTATTCTAAGGCAGTGTTTCTCAACCTTCCTAACGTTGCGACCTCTTAATACAGTTCCTCATGTTGTGGTGACCCCAACCATAACATTATTTTGCTAGTTCATAACTGTCATTTTGCTCCTGTTATAAATGGTAATGCAGTTATCTGATAAGCAGGATGTATTTTCACTGGACCAAATTTGGCACAAATACCCGATATGCCCAAATTTGAATAGTGGTGAGGAGGGAGGATTGATTGATTTTGTCATTTGGGAGTTGGAGTTGTTGGGACTTATAGTTCACCTACAATCTGAACTCCACCAATGGTGGAATTGAACCAAACTTGGCACACAAAGCTCCCATGGCCAACAGAAAACACTGGAAGGGTTTGGTGGGCATTGACCTTGAGTTTAGAGTTGTAGTTCACCTACTTCCAGACAGCACTGTGGACTCAAACAATGATTAATCTGGACCAAACTTGGCACAAATACTCAATATGCCCAAACACTGGTGGAGTTTGGGGAAAAAAGACCTTGACATTTGGGAGTTATAGTTGCTGGGATTTATAGTTCACCTGAAATCAAAGAGCATTCTGAACCTCACCAACAATCGAATTGGGCCAAACTTCCCACACAGAACCCCCATGACCAACAGAAAATACCGTGTTTCCTGATGGTCTTTGGCGACCCCTCTCACACCCCCTGGCGACCCCCTCAGGGGTCCCGACTCCCAGGTTGAGAACCACTGTTCTAAGGGTCTCTTTAATATTCTTTAGGCAGGAAGGTTCTTGTTTCCCCAGTTCCTCCTAGCAAGAGCAGAAGATCACTGGTGTGCATTCTGTTTGTGTGAGGCCTTGAATCTTAACAGCCCACGTGGCACTCATAACTGAAGATTTATTTGTTTTTGGGTTTTTTGGCACTAATAAGTGCTTTCCCCCTTCATAAGGCCTGTATGACTAATGCATTCTTTTACAATGGGATCATCATGCCCAAGAAAAACTGTGCTGGGATCCTCTTTAGATATTTTGTCATTTGGCCTCAATATCCCATAGAGAAAAAGTGGGTGGCATAGAAATCAGCACAAGAAGCAGTTCTCCTTTCCTTCTCTGCAGCCACCTCCCTGTGATCATAGTGATGTGTGTTTGTTTTCTTTCTCCATAGTTGGAACTCTCTGCTCTTCAGTCTGTGGTAGACTCCCAGAAAAAAGAGCTGCAGATTCAGGCTTCTGATGTTGAAGCGCTTACTAGAAGCATCCAGATAAAAGAAGAATTCATAAAGGTATGTTTGTTAAACAATAGTTTCTGGTCATCCACGGTGGTGCAATGGATTAAACCTTTGCACAGGCTGAACTGCTGACCTAACGGTTGGCAGTTTGAACCCGCAAGACGGGTTGAGCTCCAGTCTGTCAGCTCCAGCTTCCCATGTGGGGACATGAGAGAAGCCTTCCACAAGAGAGTAAGACTTCCGGGCATCGCCTGGGCAACATCTCTGCAGATGACCAATTCTCTCACACCAGAAGCAACTTGCAATTTTTGAAGTTGCTTCTGACACAATAAAAAAGCAATTCCCTTTGTTTTATATTGTTTAATGTATTCTTATGAATACATTTTGCTGTTTTGTGTTTTGGTTTATTTTATTGTAATGCATTGTTGGGCTTGGCCTCATGTAAGCCGCCCCGAGTTCCAGTTGGGGAGATGGTGGTGAGGGTATAAATAAAGTTTATTATTATTATTATTATTATTATTATTATTATTATTATTATTATTATTATTTTCCCTGCAGATAGGAGTGTGAGCCCTCTAGTGTTTAATATATCTACTGCAGAAAGTAGGAAGCCAAGTGTTTCTAATACTAGATTGTACCATATATACATAAGTCAGCCTCATGTATATGATGAGAACAAGCCAAAATTATGAATTTTGATATGACTCTCATTCCATGGAGAGTCAAAGCACCAATGCAGCCTCAAGTAGAGGGAGTTGATGCTTCTTTTAGGTTATCCCAGGATGGACTAAGCTTTTATATTTCACTATTCTCGGGGAAAGGGATGCTTCCTTTTTAATATAAGATATATGATAGAGTACTTACACTGACTTGTGAATATCTCAATCCAGGTTTTTGTTGGATGTATTTTCGATATATACATTTATTGATTTACTCTGTTCGGATCCTGCCTTTCTCTATCCCGAAGGAGACTCAAGGTGGTTTTACATATGGCAACTATTCAATGCCTTTGGACAACAAACAGTTACATGAGTAGATAGATTCTTCGTAAACATAACTGGCTTGCTCTGTATTTAATCCCAATGTTATAATGTTATTACCTGGCATTGTCCAGGTGTAGTTAGAACCACGCCCCCCCCCCCCCCGTTTTCTCCCTTCTCCAGCTCTAAAAAGGCCTCAATGGCAACACACTGACAACTGTCTTTGAGCAGGCTAGCTTTGTGACTCTTTCTTGCCTTCTTCCATTTTCCTTATATCCCTTCTCCTCTCTTTTCCTCCCTTCTTTACTTCTTCCCTTGGTTTCTCTCATATTCCTTCACCCCTTTCCTTTTCTTTCTTCTTTCCTTTCCTTTGTATTCCCATCTTTTTCACCCTTCCTTCTTTCTTCCATTCCTTTCTCCTTCCTGTCTTCTCTCCCTTCCTTAATTCCTTCTATCTTCCCTTCCTTCCTCTACCCTTCTTCCTCCCCTTCCCCTCATACACATGTCACCTAGCCCTTTTACTCCCTTTCCCAGTGATGTAACAGGGGGCCACTTCACCTAACCACAGTCAATCCTTCACCTAGCAACGGACAATCCATCTTGTTGCTTTTCTCATTTTATTGTGATGTTATTTTTGTTGTTCTGTATTTAATTTGTTGCAATGTATTACCAGGCTTGGTCTCATGTAAGCCGCCCTGAGACCCCTTTGGGGAGATGATGGCGGTGTATAAAGATTATTATTATTATTATTATTATTATTATTATTATTATTATTATTATTCTGTGTGACAAGTTTAGTTGAGTTCCATCAAGCCTTTGTGATACAGATGTGATACAGATGTGCAAACTATCCAAGAAACATGTAAACGTACTTTGACTTTTGTGCATATATATAGATAAAGCCTGCATTGGGATCCCCAAAACCGTATGTTACTCAAGTCCTTTATATGGCAGATCTTTGGTATTCCACAAGCATTTCCCATATCATAATTTTCTTGACTTCCAGGACTTGCAAATGCAGCTGGTTGACCCTGAAGAAATGCCAGCCATTGAGCGACTTACCCAGGAGGTTTTAATGCTTCAGGAAAAGATAACCAGTGTAGAATTGCAAGGACAGGAAGACCCAGGAAACAAGAAATTGCAGGTATGACAGAAGACTTCTTCATGATATAGGATAATAAAAGCCTGAAGAGACCACAAGGGCCATCTAGTCCAATGCCCTGCCATACAGGAAAACACAAAGCACTCCCAACAGATGGGCATCCATCCTCTATGTGAAAGCCTCTAGAGAAAAAGACTCCCCTATACTCTGAGGCAGCAGCATATTTCGCTGCTGAACAGTTCTTCCTGTCAGGATGCTCTTCCTAATGTTTAGATGAAATCTTTTTTCCAGCTATTTGAATCCATTGCTCCTAGTCTCCACAGCAGCAGAAAACAAACTTGGCGCCTGTTCAGTGTGACATCTTTTAAGGCAGTGGTTCTCAACCTGTGGGTCCCCAGATGTTTTGGCCTTCAACTCCCAGAAATCCTAACAGCTGGTTAACGGACTGGGATTTCTTGTTGTAGGCCAAAACACCTGGGGACCCACTGGTTGAGAACCATTGCTTTAAGGCATTTTAGCATGGCTGTCATGTCCCCTGTTAACTTATTCTTCTCCAAGCACAACATACCCAGCTCCCTCTGACACTCCTCATATGCTCAATCGGGCTTAAATTAGAAAGTGTTATTTCCTGTTTAATTGTGCAGGACTTACTTTGAAAGTAGTTGTTAATTCTCCAGAAACTTTGTTTTTGTGGCTGCTATTTTTAACCTGTCATATGCCATTTTTAACCTTTTGTGCAGATCACAGAAACAAGTTTTTTGCAGTTTAATAAACTTTTTCCATGTCTTTATGATAGAACCAACATTTATAACCTAGGATCAAAAATTGTGTTACGTAGTGTTTTGTGGTGTGGTCTACCTGCATTTGTGCTTACAGCTGGAATTGAATCAATGTGAGGCATTTTTTTATTAATCTAAAGTGATACTACTTAGGCCATGTTTAAAAATAGTAGGATCTAAACTGCCTTATAAGCATTTCTTCTTGACTTCTATTGAGCATCAAATATCACACGTAGCCATAAATTGAAGGAGAATGTTTACCTTGTAGCTTTTGTTGGCGCTGGAGGGCCTAGTTTCAGAGAGGAGTCAACTGAATGAAACCCTGAAAACAGAAAAGCAACTCTACAGCAGTTTGGTTAAGCTTCGTGCTCATTCTGTCAGGTGAGGAATCCCCCCGCCACTGGCTGCAGGTAATACCAGGGCATCCTGCTCTTAGGGGAAAATGCTGTTTGTTTACCCAGGTTAAGAAGTCTTCCATTTTCTTCTCTTTTGTATCCACAATTTACCAGGCTTTCGTATGCCACAGAGAGGAAGAACAAGAGGGAGTGTGAGGAAAGAGCCTTACTTGGGTTATTGGTGTAGTTTAAAGCAAGGGTGCCAAACTCAATTCCCATCGAGGGCCACATCAGCCTAATGGGTGCCTTCAAAGGGCCATTGAATCCATGGATGGTGAATATAGAGAGCAAACTATATATATATATTTACATAGTGGTCAGTGCTCTTTAGTTTTTACCAGATCTGGATCCCCAGATGGTAGTGAATGGTAACTCCCATCAATATTAATATCTGGGAACAATCAGAATTGTAGCCCAACAACAATTTGGCCCAGAGGCAGGGGAAAAGTCAAATGTATCTACAAGCCTTTTATCTAAATCCAAACTCCACTCTCCTGACTAAACAGAACAAACTGCAGCCTTCCAGTTAGAATCATTGAGTTGGAAGAGACCTCATGGTCCCTCAAGTCCAACCCCCTGCCAAGAAGCAGGAAGATCACATACAAAGCACCCCCAGCAGATGGCCATCCTGCCTCTGTTTAAAAGCCTCTAGAAAAGGAGCCTCTACCACAGTCTGGGGCAGATAGTTCCACTGCTGAACAGTTCTTGCAGTTAGGAAGTTCTTCCTAATGTTCAGGTGGAATCTCCTTTCTTGTAGTTTGAAGCCATTGTTCTGCATCCTATGTTGCACCTCCCATCAGCTCTACTCATATGTACTGATGATAAATACAGGAGTTGTAGTCCAGCATTTGGAGGGCCACATAAAATGACATGATGGTCTAGATTTGGCCCACGGGCCTTGAATTTTAACACATATGGTTTAAAGGATTCAGGCTAAGAGTGTTTTGAGTGATGTATAGATGTTGATAATTGTATAAACTTCTTTCAATCCACCTTCCCTTTTCCACGACCTCATTAGCTCTGGACCCGAACACATTCTGCAGGTGGAGCTGGAGGAGGTCCAGGCCCTCCGTAGGCAGTTGGAAGAGGCCCTTGGAAGAAGCCTGGAGCGCCTGAGCAGGCTGGAGTCATTGCATGGCATTGGAGGTGGGGAACCGGAGCGTGTGACAGTCCTGCCCAAGCATGCCTTCTGAGCTCTGGCTTCACACTACCCCTGGTGCAGGATGGAAGCTGATCACTAACCGAATAAGCCTGCCTTGACGCTGGGAGGGCTGATCAGTTCTTGCTGGAAATGGCATTCTGTGCTAGCCACTTGTGTTCCATTCACATTCCTGACGTGATCATTCCCGGGAGGATGTAAATAGATCTCATCATCTTATATCCCTTCTAGTTTCTCCCTCATCCAGAACTTTCCTTTTCTTCCCCTTCTCAAATTTGGTGAAATAAAGATTCTCCGCACCCCCATTCCTTCAGAATCTGTGTTAATTGTTCTGTGCCATGCATTACACATATATTTATAACTCTTGGGAGGTGGTCAGTGTTACTGTTTTGCTTTATTGAGCTTCCTCTCACTCCATGTTTTTTCCATGAAGCTCAGATAAAGCCCTCCTCAAAACAGCACATCTAAGCATAGTTTAATGTTGATAACTCATCTCAGAGGAGTTGCGCATTTCCTCTTTCCAATTTTGAGCAATCCTCCAGTGATGAGTAATGCCTCAGCAATGAAATGTAGACTCTTGCTTTGTAAAATATTGTCAATTCTGCTACAAGTAGCATAGCAGTAAATTGAGAGAACAAAGCAGAATGACCAATACTTTACACAGAGTAAAAGATCTGTTGCAACCAGATCACTTTATTCTGCATTAGCCTACCTACAAGCAGAAGGCTGTGTGAATTTAGCCTAATGCAGGAGTCAAGACCAAAATTTAAAATTACTGGGCTAACTAATTTTCAGATTCACTCACTTAGATGAGTATAATTAACCATATGATATTTATATTTTCTGTGTTGGTTTATTTACATTGTTTGAGGAATGGAAATGTCTTTGCTATAAGAGAAAAAAAAGAACAATATGGCCATCAAAATCCAAGTAAATGCAGTACAGGATCCAGAATGATTATATATATATAGGTGAATAAAAGCTATGATTCTACACCTTGTTGCTGGGAAGCTTACCACTAGTGTGGAAATCATATATTGGAAAGCCAAAAGTAAGGTAACAACTGCTTCTGTTATAGAACTCCAATATGTTGATGAGAACGCAATCTGTTCATTCAGGGGAAGACCTTCAAGCCACCTTAAGCACCTTCACAGAAGCATATGAAAGCCTTGACATAGAATGATCTCGTCTAACCCCCTGCCATGCAGGAAAAACAAAGTACCCCTGATAGATGGCCATCCAGCCTCCTTAAAAGCCTTTGAAAAAGAGCTTCCACCACACTCTGGCAGGGAGTTCCACTGTTCGGAAGTGGCCTCTCACCTAACATTGAGAAGTCTAATGTGCTCTACCAGCAGGCACAAAACAATCCCTCTGCAATGCCAAAAATACAGCTTAATGGTGTAATGCTAGAAAATGTTGACTGCTACCTTGGCAGCCACCTCTCCTCAAAAGTTGACGACAATGCTGAAACACAACACTTTTGAATTCTACAAGTTCTACAAGATGCTTTTTTATAACGGGGTTGCTCTTTCACCTTTTGTAACATGCAAAACATAGACCATCCACAAACATCACTCTCAATTTCTAGAAAGGTTCCATCAGTGTTGCCTTTGAAAAATCTGGCAAATCTGACAGCATCAGACAAACTTTCTTGAAGAAGCAAAACCACCAACACTGAAACCTCTTTCTGGAAGAAGCAAAACCAACATTGAAACAATCATTTGCTATTAACTTTGCTGGACTGGCCACGTTGTCCTATTACTATCTCCCAAAGCAGTTACTTTATTCTCAGCTTTAAAATGGGAAGCAATTTTGATGGGCAACAGAAGAGATTTAAAGATGGTCTTTTAGCTAACCTAAAACAATGAAGTATAGACATAGAGAACTGGGAAGCCCTGACACTCAAGTGTTGGAACTGGAGGACAGCTATTGCCAGTGGTGCCATAGATTTTGAAGAGGCACGAAAATGGCGAAAGGGAGGAAGCTGTGTCAAGCAAACATTTGTCATGGCCACCGTCCACATGGAAAGCTATGTCCTCAATGTGAAAGAACATGTAGCTCCAAGATAGATCTTCACAGTCATTTCTGAATCTACCACCAATTCTCTACTTCATACTCGGCCACTAGTGATTGCCCATGACAAGATGAATAGAAATATTCAAATCTGATAAATAGCAAAATACAGTAAGCAAAAAATCATTCTGATGGCGATTCTCTATTTTAAAACACCATGTGAAACAGTGATGATTCTGGATGGCGTTCTCAAATTGATAAGGTTTAGAATTCAAGACTACAGGATAAAGACTGGAAGTTGCAATCTCAGCTTTCGGAGAAGGACACAGGTCACCCCATCCATCTACTTTAGAATATCAAACATTTATATGTAGTTTGCATCAATATAGTGCCTATTCGATATTCCTTGAGTAAGCCTATTTTTGTCACATTGTACTAACAATATTAAAAGAAAGGCTTTGGTAGCAATATTGGTCTTTTTTTCTTGGTATAAATCAACACAGAAAATTCCAATTTCATATGGCATCTTCTGCTCCCAAGCTTGACTTCAAGGGGCTGAGCTGTTGTTTTTGAGAACAGATCCCTGACAGCCACTCATCAGTAAGTCAGAAAGCATAATGACCTCTTGCCTACTTGAAGAATCCATAGACATACATCAAACCAGATGTCTGTATGAGATTTGAAAATGGCATAGTTTTTTTTACATGTTTTGCATGTGTATGCATCTGGAGAGAGCCATTTATATATACTAAAAATCTTTGCTTCAGGCTTCGCAAGCAGGTAAGCCAATACGTCTTTGCATGCCATATTTGGGTTCATAACGCTTTGCTGTTTGTTGGCGCCAACTCATAATGTGCAACATTCCCAGCTGTGTGGTGGAGTTTTAAAATATAACTTAGTTTTAAAATAAAGAGTTTGCTAGTTATGTAAGATAAATGTTATATACAAAAGCAATACACACCTCTGACTGCCTGATGCTAGGTGATGAAAATTTCTTGCTTTCCTAGTCTGCTTTTGAATTTCTACTTGTGCCTGACTGGCCAATGCTGAAGATGTCTTTGATCCCTAGCGAGACAGTTATTTTAATGTTGTAATTTAGGCTGGGGACTAATTCACAAATTATTGTGTTTCTAGCACTACCAGTACTCTATTACTATGAAAGCAACAAGAAAACTTACTCAGCAGAATCAATATTCCAATTTTGGGAATTCATGATGGGCCTGAGACCACCTAGGTGGCTACTGATTCAACACATTAGAGTGGAAACTTCATAAATCAGCTGTTCATGGAGTTTTTTGGTTTTTGGTCTCCTGCTAAAACATCCTTTCTCAACCTGGTATTTCAGACTCCCATTTCCTCTGGTGAATGTAGCCAGTGAATAATAGGATGTGTGGTCTGAAACATCTTGGGAAGCACCAGATTGTCAAAGGCTGTAGAGATGATGAAGTGGTTGCTTTCTAGAAGGCACCAGAGAACAGATCTTTTCATTTTGTATTGTATTTAACTACACAAAAATGTTGTTCACCCCTCATTCCAAGAATTCATAAATAGTTTTGTCAATTCCATTTATCCTCCCACCAATCCTTGTAAGAAGTCAAGAGTCTTCTCAATTGTGATATCCTGTTTATTTGAATATCTTTCTCAATAAGGCTCACCAGGAACCATGCCAGCTTTTAGACATTCTAGTTTTTTCTTGATTTTTATGTATTGCATAATATATTAATATTAGTAGATATTTCACAATTGACCTAGTTTGCAGTGGAGTAAAATACAAGTAATATGTTGAAATTTTTACCTACTCCATATCCATTTGACTATTCTGTCATTCAAGTTCATGCATCCAAGTTCAAAGTACATGCTAGAAGCCTAAAGTAAATATATTATTTACTTTAGTAAATATATTATGCTTTCATATATTATGCCACCCCATGCCCTCGCCAAATGGCGAAAGCGCGAGGTGGGCAAGGGGCCTTTGCGCGAAGTCAGGCCTCGCGCCAAGATCCCCTTGCCCACCCCACGCCCTCACCAAATGGCGAAAGTGCGAGGCGAGGGGCCTTTGCGCAAGATCAGGCCTCATGCCAAGATCCCCTTGCCCATCCTGCACCCTCGCCAAATGATGAAAGCGCAAGGCAGGTGAGGGGCCTTTGCTCAAGGTCAGGCCTCGCACCGAGATCCCCTTGCCCGCCCCGCACCCTCGCCAAATAGCTAAAGCGCGAGGCGGGCGAGGGGCCTTTGCACGAAGTCAGGCCTCGCGCTGATATCCCCTCGCCCACCCCGCGCCCTCGCCAAATGGCGAAAGCGTGAGGTGGATGAGGGGCCTTTGCGCAAAGTCAGGCCTCATGCCAAGAACCCCTCCCCCACGCCCTCGCCAATTGGTGAAAGCGTGAGGCGGGCGATGGGCCTTTGTGCAAGGTCAGGCCTTGTGCGAAGGACAGAGGCGGCCCTGTAACCCCTCCAAAATGGCCAGGCGACCCCCCAGGGGGTCGCAATCCCCAGGTTGAGAACCGCTGCTGTAGTCCTTCGGATGTTGTTCTGCTGCAACTTCCTGCCTAAGCGATAGTGAGGAATGCACTCGTCATTGCTTTGGTTTAGATTTAGTTAAATTGAATTGCAATTTAAACACATCTAAAACTCCTGCATAGTTCTCCACCTTGTGGTAATGTAATCCAAACAGTTTCCTAATTAGAACAGCCCAGTTAGTCTAGAACAGGGGTCACCAAACTAAGGCCCGGGGGGGGGGGGGCGGATATGGCCCTCAAAGGTAATTTACCCAGCCCTCGCTCAGTCTGAAACAACTTCAAAGCACACAACAACAACAATCCTAACTCATCGGCCAAAAACAGGCCCACACTTCCCATTGAAATACTAAGTTTATATTTGTTAAAATTACTCATCATTTTAACTATTGTATTGTTTTTAAGTGTTTGTTGCACTACAAATAAGATATGTGTAGTGTGCATAGGAATTCAATCATGTTTTTTTCAAATTGTAATCCGGTCCTCCAACAGTTTGAGGGACTGTGACTTGGCCCTCTTTTTAAAAAGTTTGAGGACCCCTGGTCTAGAATATCAGTATGCAAAGAGATCTTGTAGCTGAGACAGAGAATGATGCTAGTAGCATATGCTTTTGTAAACTGAGGTCTGCATCTGAAAGCACACCTACACTGACTACTCGGGATTTATTTGGGTTCGCCCACGGAAAAGCAGAAATCCTGAAGCAGGATTTTGGGTTGGATGCATGGATTTTATTTTAGGATTTTGGATTGTCCTGCAAGGTAAGGACAGCTGAAACAGCTAGGTTGGTTCCTAAGTAGACAAGAGTGAGAGGAGAGATTTCCCTCTCCCAGTTTCCTTTGCCAGTTATAGGACCCATCAGAAGGTCTGAGTATGGTAGGTATCTGTGTGTTTGGTGTGGTCGGCCAGTGGAATTTTCTTGGTCCACCAAAGCAGCTCAGGGAATCCCTCTCAGCCGCAAACTGAGCCCAATCCAACATAACAGAAGCCAGATCAGGACCATTTCGAGTGTCTGTGTTGCACCACAAGGCGATCTACACTGTAGAAAAAATGTAGTGTCACGCCACTTTTAACTGCCACAGCTCAATGCTGTGGAACCCTAGGATTGGTAAGCCGCAAGCCCTCTTTGACAGAGAAGGCTAATAAAGACCTTTTAAACTACAAGTCCCGTGATATCATAATATTGAGTCATGGCAGTTAAATTAGTATCAAACAGGCTTCATTCTACAATGTAGATGCACCCTAAATCTGTGAAAGCATATGCCGCCAACTTCATTTTTCCAGGTTCAGATGCTACAAAGGAGGAAGCTTGTAAGAGGAAGTGAAGCCTTGTTTCTGGGACAAGAAAGCACCTGACAAATACTAGAAAAGTGGAACAATGTCAGAAACCCATATTACTTATATTGGCTCCCTGGTGGTGAATTTGCTAAGCGGTGTCCTTTTGACTTTCAATAGATTCATGCTTAGGAAAGGTCTGGGATCAACCACATGGATCTTTGTTTCCATTCTTAGAATTTGTCATCAGGCAGTCTGTGGGTATTGCTGGGGGACAGGAGTTGAAATTTCAGGGTGTGTTTATTGCTAGGCATATGTGCAGAAATGAAACCCCCAAGATGTGTATCGCAAAGCAAGAATATGAAGGAGTCAAGCAATGTGTAGAAAGAAAATGCCCATAAATCCTATACTGCAAGAGTTTGCCTTCCCTAATTCTGTCAATATTTGATAGCTTTAATATACTCAGGAATTGAAGTTTGGTCTCTTTTGTATACTTTTTGTGCATTCTCTTTCTGGTGTAATTGCAGATCTGACTGTGTCTGATGATGCCGAGGACGCTGGCACTGAGTTCACAGACAGCATTGAAGAAGAGGTGGCACAGAGAATTGCCCAGCACCAGGTGAATTTCGAGGGCAAAATACTCAACATCTATTCAGGAGAGCACTTGCTATGTCAAGGATATTGGTTCAGGCAACTGTCTTATGAGCACATGTTGCATTTGAATGGACTGACTTTGGAGCCTTGGCTTTGCCTGAGAGGTTGATACGAGGGTTGGATGAAAAGTAATGCCTCCACCTTTGTAACTCCTCAACAGATGGCAGTACTGGTAGGCAGCTGGTACTGGCTTGTTCAGTAGACTCTCCTCTACAGTTCCATTTTGGGGGGAATCCTTAGCATTCAACGGTTGTGTTGTTAAAGTGCAAAGTATGGAACCCTCCGCAGACGGTCGGTCAATGTGACTTAAGCAACATGCAGTCATTGAATTCTTGACATCAGAAGGTGTCACCCCAAAGGAGATTAATCAGAGAACGCAAGCTGTTTATGGTGTTTGTGTTGATGTGAATACTGTGCATCATTGGATGAGAAAGTTTAAAGATGTTGAGGTGCGAACATTTGACTTGCATGACAAACAAAGAGTTAGACATCCCGTGACAGCAACCACAGAGTTTCACAAGCAAAATGTTGACAGATTGATTCAGGATGATCGTCGTATCACTCAGAGAGAAATTTCAAGCATAATTAGCATTTCACAAGAATGTGTAGGTCACATTATTGCTTTGCTTGGCTATCAGAAGATCTGTGCATGATGGGTATCCAGGATGCTGATGCCTGAAATGAAAGCGCACAAACTTGAAACTTCAGAGACTGGATCTCACCACCGTACGGCATCCTCCATACAGTCCAGATTTAGCACCATCTGACTTTCATCTGTTCCTGTTAATGAAAGAAGATCTTCGGGGACATCATTATGTTTTTGATGAAGACGTTGAGAGGACTGTGAGATGCTGGTTGCGGAAACAGAGTGTCGACTTCTGTGACGGCTTCAGAAAACTTCTTCGCCGTTGGCAGAAATGTATCCAATTGTCTGGTGATTATGTGGAAAAGTGAATAGTGGTAGTTAAAGAGCACATTCTAAGGATTATTTCTGCATTTGATTTATTAAAATCTTCCCATCCAAACCTAAGTAACTAAGGTGAAGGCATTACTTTTCATTCAAACCTCGTAGTATCTGAAAAGAGTTATGTAGTTTCTTTACATTGGTCAGTACTTGCTTCTCTGCACAGTTTGTGGGCAAGATTAGGCATTCTCCTTGATGAAGCTGCGGACATGTGTTTATTTAGTGACTAATTCTCTGCTGTGTGTGCCGAAGATCTTTGTACCCTGGTGAATTAAACATAACGTTATTTTCATTTCCCATTATAGAACAATAAAGGAGATGCTGATGACAATCTCGTGGGCTATGATTCCACTTGCCCTTCTCCACCCTCCCTAGTGAGTGAAAAGGGCCTCCAGGAGGAGCTGTTTACTTCAAAATCTGAAATTCAAACCATTTTAGAGCAGAAGAAGAAGCTGGAAGAGGAACTGCAGGATCTCAAGGGACAAATTGAGGAAGCCGGGTTCTCCTCTGTGTCTCAACTCAGGTGATCCAAGCTGACACCAGAAAATAATATCCCATTGGAGTCTCACAGACTTAAGTTCTTTTCTGGGGGTTTAGTAAAAGTTAGCCATAGGTAGTAATAATTGGAAGAGGGTTGTATTTCAGTGGAAGACTCGGAGTCAAACTGTAGGTTATGTTAAATATGCAAAAATGTTTTTCTTTCATGAATGTGTCTGTGTGCAGTGCACACAACTTCAAGATGTCTGTCAACGTATGGTGACCTCATGGATTTTGCCGGGTTTCCTAAGACAAGGAATTTTCAGATGTGATTTTGCTTCTTCCTTCTTTGGAAATATAATCTAAAGCATCTGGTATTCATTTACAGTTTCCCATCCATGTACTAATCATACATACATAATAAACATAATAATAAGAAGAAATAATCTTGGCTGTGCCTGTTTAACTTTCAAGATCAGTCAGGATCTTCTGCCTTTAGGGTACAAGATCCTGAGCGTCTCCAGATTGGACACTCTGCATCTCGCTAACAGCGGATTAGACATTTCTGTGCCTTGTCTGAGGCAAGTATTTCATAATCAGAAAAGGATGAAGTATAGAAATTGATAGAATGTGCCAGACTGAAACTTAGGAGTTGTCAGTAACTCTCAACTAGGCAATGACTATTAAAGTCTCTAAATGAGCAACTTTGTGGATTTGAGATGGCATTCTCTTGGGCGAAAGTAAGGACACCTTCCCCTCCCATACATTTATTATATAGTAATTCTGTCTGTAGAGTCATGGTGGCATAAGCTGCAGAACTTGCTGACCGCAAGGTCCGCAGTTTGAATCCATGGAATGGGGTGAGCTCCTGCTGTTAGCCCCAGGCTCTGCCAACCTAGCAGTTCAAAAACATGCAGATATGAGTAGATCAATAGGAATAGCTTAAATTGGAAGGTAATGGCACTTTATGCAGTCATGCCAGCCACATGACCTTGGAAGTGTCTATGAACAGCGCCGGCTCTTCAGCTTAGAAATGGAGATGAGCACCACCCCCCAGAATGGGACACGACCAGACTTAATGTCTGCATCAGTTCTTATTCTTTCTGTCTTGTACATACACACAACATGCACAAACAAACACAGGTCATCCACCATCTATAAGAGGTTCTCTGCATTCCTGCAAAATTATCTGCATTCCTGCAAACTTAGTCTCCTCCCTTAGTACTGCTTCCCCTTCCTGATGGATGGAACTTCACTCTATCAACCCAGTCTCTGCCATAGAAAAAAGAGGTGACACAAAAGCAAGACAAGAGTGATCTTCACATATATGTAGTCCCACATACTTCCTCAGCTAGTGCTAGCAAAAGAAGATTAATCTCAAGACTACAATGCCTAGAGAATATGTCTAGATGTTCTCTAGGCATTGCAATCTCAAGATTAATCCTCTTTTGCTGTCACTAATAGAGAACATCTAAAAATGCTGGAGCCCCCGGTGACACAATGTGCCAACAGGACTGCTGACTGAAAGGTCAGTGGTTTGAATCCGGGGAGCAGGGTGAGCTCTCAGCTCCAGCTTCTCATGCAGGGACATGAGAAGCTTGTCATGAGAGAAGCCTCCCACAGGATGGTAACACATCCAGACATCCCCTGGGCAACGTCATTGCAGACTGCCAATTCTCTCACACCAATTTCTCAATTTCTCAAATCGCTCCTGACATGGAAAAAAATCTAGAAATGCCTGGAGAGTTTCCTGTTGTCCTTAATTCTGAGTACCAGTTGCTCTGTTTCCACAGGAAGGCCCTGCTGAGCCTGTGCCTAGAGAACGCAGAGCTCAAGGAACAAGTTGGCGAAGCAATGTTATCAGAGGGTTGGGAGAATGAAGATGCAAAGGAAGATGAAGAAAACTTGAGGCTGGAAGTCAGAAAGCTACAAGAGAAGTTGCACATGTCAGAGATCGTGACTGGACTCCTGAAAGAACAGCTCGCTCTGAACACCCAAGAAGGTTCAGTCAACGCTTCCTTCACATGCAGTGTGGCTCAGGATGTTGTGCAGCTGCAAAAGTCCCAGCAGTGCAACTGCCTGGGGCTTTCTCACAACGATGTCTCACAGTCCCACTGCCAACCCGCCAAGAGTGTGGACTTCAACCCATTGCCCAGCCTCAAAGGAGCCCAGGTAACTCCAGCTGGTCTCACAGTATGTTTGAACTGCTTAGAACAAGAGGTGTTCACAGTGAATTAGATGTTCCTCCTCAGGTGGGATGGGGTCATAAGTGGAAAAGGCTTTAAGAACCCCTGCTTTAAACTATGCCAGAACATTGTGAGCTTGGTTGTACATGAGCCTGAATTCAGCTCATAGTCACAGCCAAGACTATTGGGACAGATAGCTAGATGGACTAAAAGCAAAAGTTCTCATCTATATAAATAAAAATATAATGTTCATTTGTGGGATTAAAATAACTCAAAAACCAATGGGCGAATTGACACCAAATTTGGACACAATACGCCTATCAGGCCAATGAGTGACCATAACTCGAAAAATTGATTTTGTCTTTTGGGAGTTGGAGTTGCTGGGATTGATAGTTCACCTACAATCAAAGAGCCCTCTGAACTCCACCAACGACCGAATAGAACCAAACTTGGCACACAAATCTCGCATGACCAACAGAAAATACTGGAATGGCTTGATGGGCATTGACCGTGAGTTTTGGAGTTGTAGTTCACCTACATCCAAAGAGCACTATGGACTCAAACAATGATGGATCTGGACCAAACTTGGCATGAGTACGCAACATGCTCAAGTGTGAACACTGGTGGAGTTTGAGGAAAATAGACCCTTAGCACTTTCTCGCACCATGGACATGCCACAGATATATAAACCTCACTTGCCTAGTTTCCAACAGACCTCACAACCTCTGCCATAAATGTGGGTGAAACATCAGGAGAGAATGCTTCTGGAACATAGCCATACAGCCCAGAAAACTCACAGTGACCCAGTGATTCTGCCATGAAAGCCTTCGACAACACATATAATAGTTTTACTAGAATAATATATGCCATATTGCAGATCAGTGAAAGGATAGCTTTAGGTGACGCAATGTACAGATGTCATTTATTTGGACAGATTAAAGTCAAAGTCAGTAACAATCAACATGCCCTGTGCTATTTCTCCTCAGGTGGAAGGAATCAGTTTTGGGGAGCAGCTCATCGATCCCCTTCACTCAGAGTCACCTCGGTGCAGGCAGCAATGTTATAAGCTACGAGACAAACTCTTGGTTTCAGAGGCCACTATACAGGCTCAGCAGACTCAGCTGGAAGAATACCGGGTGCTCCTCAGTAAGTATTGATCTGGGCTTCCAGTTCCTTTATTTACAGTATTTATTTACTGTATTTATATTCCACCCTTCTCACCCCAAAGGGGACTCAGAGCTGATCATAGAACACATTCAGTGCCGTTATACACTGACAAGACAAACAATTGCACAAAGATAGAGGTATATATAGGATTTGCCATCTTTAGCATCTTGGAGGCTGTTCTTGGCTCCTGCCACCAAGGGGGGTTGCTGTCGCTCCATCTTCCCTGCTGAAGAGCTTTGTTCGTAAACTTTATCTTTGATCCAATCATCTGGAATTTCCTTATGGGTGCCTTAAATACCTCCCTGCTTTAAAGCAGTACCTATTTATCTCCTTACATTTGTTTTCAAACTGCTAGGTAGGCAGAAGCTGGACCCAGAGGAGGGCAGCTAAAATGATCAAGGGTCTGGAGAACAAGCCCTATGAGAAGCGGCTTAAGGAGCTGGGCATGTTTAGCCTGAAGAAGAGAAGGCTGAGAGGAGATATGATGGCCATGTATAAATATGTGAGGGGAAATCATAGGGAGGAGGGAGCGAACTTGTTTTCTGCTTCCCTGGAGACTGCGACACGGAACAATGGCTTCAAACTACAAGAAAGGAGATTCCATCTGAACATTAGGAAGAACTTCCTGACTGTGGGAGCTGTTCAGCAGTGGGACTCTCTGCCCCAGAGTGTGGTAGAGGCTCCTTCTTTGGGAGCTTTTAAACAGAGGCTGGATGGCCATCTGTCAGGGGTGATTTGAATGCAATATTCCTGCTTCTTGGCAGGGGGTTGGACTGGATGGCCCATGAGGTCTCTTCCAACTCTATGATTCTAAAGGCCAGGAGCTCACCCCGAGCTCCTTTCAATTGGCATCTATTTTCATATATGTATTGCAAATATCTACTAACTGCATTTAAAGAACTTTGTCACTGATCTTTAATCCAGCCTATCCAAATGATAGGTGAGTCTTTTACAGATGGATCACAGGAAACCTGTATCATAATCCCATAGTGAAATAGGTAACAGCGGCAATAGAAAATACATGAAGATCAAGCCTTTTCTTTTCTTTATCACAGGTGAGCCGCTGGTGCAGAAAGAGAGTAAACAGATACAAGTGGATCTCCAGGACTTGGGCTATGAGACCTGTGGGAGAAGTGAAAACGAAGTTGACCGGGAAGAGATCACCAGCCCTGGTAAGACAAAATGTTCCTCTGGATGCCAACTCTTTCACAGGCTACAGTGCCTGAAAGGGCCACCATAGTAACTTCCCATCCACATTTCATGTGTATGAATATAGCTGGATGTACAAAGAATCCGGTGCAACTTGAAATCAACTTTGTGTATGAAGGAAGACCCACCATAATGATCCAGTCATAACAAGAGAAGCTGGAGAGTGAAATCATAAGGGACTGCGGCGCAGCTGGCTGGGAGTCAGCTGCATTAAGATCACTCCTGACGAAAAGGTCATGAGTTCGAAGCCCACCCAGGTCGGAGAGAGCTTCTGACCAATTTGTGTAGCTTACTGTCAGCCTTTGCAGCTCGAAAGACAGTTACATCTGTCAAGTAGGAAATTTAGGTACCGCTTATGCAGGGAGGCTAATTTAACTAATTTATGACGCCATAAAAATCTCCAGCAAGCATGCAAAGAATGAGGAAGTACTCCATCAGTGTCACAAATGGATGGTGAAGCGACAGATCCCCTGGTGGCCAGAATACCCTCATGAAAAAGTTGGAATGTTAAATAGCTTCTGAGTGTCTGTCTTTATATGTTGTGTGTCTATGGCATTGAATGTTTGCCAAATATATGTACATTGTAATCCACCCTGAGTCCCCTGCGGGGCGAGAAGGGCGGAATATAAAATACTGTAAATGAATAAATAAGAGTTCCTATACTCTCCAACTTCCCTTCAGGAAGGATGTAATGATATCCATCCAAGAAAAATGATCTTTGAAGCCTTACAGATAATTGCCTCTTAATGTTCCCCCTTTTACATACCTGCATGGGCTTGGGGCCTTTAGATGAGGTTGTGACTCTGAATGTAGAAAGCATCTAGGGTCCACTTGATGCAATGTTTTCTCAGGTAAGTTGAATAATAATGGCACTCCATGCAGTCATGCCAGCCACATGACCTTGGAGGTGTCTATGGACAATGCCGGCTCTTCGGCTTAGAAATGGAGATGAGCACCACACCCCAGAGTCGGACACGACTGGACTTCATGTCAGGGGAAGACCTTTACCTTTTTACCTAAGTTGAATAATAACAATATTGTTTAGAAACTCTTAACTGGGAAGTTGGAATTTGTTGTGACTTCAATGGAAGTGCATGCTTGGTGGGCAATCCAGCTTTGTTCTTGTCTAATCCATACTATGACCCTAACACCCAGTTGTTGTTGGCTTTCCTAGAATGTGAAGAACATATTGATGAGCTAAAGACTTGGAAGACGCTGCTGGGCTCCCCTGAAAGCAAGCTGGCAAAGCACGACTTGAGCCAGTGTGAGGATGTAGCCGTTCTCCGCCAGCACATCCAGGCTCTGCAAGGGCAGCTACAAAGTTCCCATAAAGTCATCCGGAATCTACAAAGCCGTGTGCACTCCGTATCCACTACCAGTGACTATGCCTCTGGGGGAGAGCATCCACTGAAGCGGAAGGAGACCTATGCCCTGGGCAGTTCTCCTTCCCACAGCATCACTGATGAAGATGAAGGCTGGCAGTCAGACAGCTTTGGGTCAATTTGCCCTCCAAGTCTCCAACTCAACAAAGATCTGGCCAGGCTCATCCAGAGAGTATCCCATCTTGAGGCTCAACTGGGTGAGACTAAGCCGAAACTGCCATTGCCAGAAGAACTGAAACCTTCAGCAACCCTGGGGTAGGATTTCCAGGGATTTCTCTTGCCGCTTTGGGGTTCACTAACCGTGGACTTGCTGTTTCGTGGCTTTTCAAAAAAATTAATTTAAAATACAAGTAGCGAGGGAACACTGTATATAACAGACTTGAGAGCCCCACACCAGTGGGGAAGCAGAGAGGGAGGGAGAAGGGTGGCTCCAGCAAGGAGGGAGGGAGGGAGGGGGAAAGAGGAGAGGAAGAGAGAGAGAGAGAGGAGGGCTATACTATACACATACAGTATAGCATCCCTACATCGCGGTTTTGCACTTATCGCGGGGGTTCCTGGAACAAAAAATTATTTATTTCTGATATTTATATCCCGTCTCTTCTCTATCACAAAAGGGAGACTCAGGACGGCTTACATAGGCGGCAATTCGATGTCATTACATGAACAATTAATACAATAACCATTAAACAAACCATCAAACTATTAAAATACATAAAATACATAAGCCATGAATTAAACAGAGGCTAGGTAATTTTCAACTGTAAGCAAACAGTATTTTGGCAACAATCACTGATATATATTTTCTGTTCGTCGTGGGAGTTCTGTGTGCCATATTTGGTTCATTCCATCATTGGTGGAGTTCAGAATGCTCTTTGATTGTAGGTGAACTATACATCCCAGTAACTACAACTCGCATATGTCAAGGTCTATTTTCCCCCAAGAGCACCTAAGAGCGCCCCCGGGCAAAATCAACTATACTGCAAATGCTTACTTTGCGTAATGGGTTGAGCCGCCCCTGTAATTAAACAATATAAAAACATTTGTTACCAAATAGAACCGTATTGCATGTTCCCTCACCTGCAATAGGTGAGGAAACACTATATTGGTTGGTGTGATCAAGATTGACACTCATTACCTACTGCAAAAATATCTGGCATTGTTGGAATCTGTTTTCTAAATTTGTGAGAGCTGAAAGCTTATGTAAATCTACAGCAGCATAGTTACACTGGGTTTCCCACAGTCATGCAGCCAGTGGTTTCAATATTTATTTATTTATTTTATTTGCAGTATTTATATTCTGCCCTTCTCACCCCGCAGGGGACTCAGGGCGGATTACAATGTGCATATACATGGCAAACATTCAATGCCATAGATACACAACATATATAGACAGACACACAGAGGCCATTTAACATTCCAGCTTCGTGAGGATATTCTGGCCACCAGGGGAGCTATCGCTTCACCGTCCATTTGTGACACTGATGGAGTACTTCCTCATTCTTTGCATACTTGCTGGATATTTTTATGGCATTGTAAATTAGTTAAATTAGCCTACCCGCATAAATTTCCTACTTGACAGCTGCAATTGTCTTTTGGGCTGCAAAGATCGAAAGCAAGCTACGCAAATGGTCGGAAGCTCACTCCGACCCGGGCTGGCTTTGAACTCATGACCTTTCAGTCAGTAGTGATCTAATGCAGCTGACTCCCAGCCAGCTACGCCACAGTACCAAAGCTGAGCCATTGAGCAATTGAGTCTTTACCCTCCCAATTAAAAGTAAGTGAGAGATTTGGAGTCCAATTTAGTGCCTTCTGACACACTAAGTACCAGTTCTGTCCACATCTTCAAACAACATTTTCACCATATTAAATTAATGCGGTGAAGATAACTCATAAATTTCCGCATCACCTGTGAATCAAGTCTGGTTTATCCCCTGTGCCTGGAAAGTTAGCTGAACAAACGCAGGGTGGAAGACCCTTTTCTCTCTGATTAGTTTCTCTCATAAGATGTCTCTAGGGCTAGAATGAGGAAAAGGATCTTGTTTTTTCACCATGTTTTTTATTTGGTGATTGGGCCTCCGAATATGATGGTCAATTTTACTGTTTCTCCCCTTCAGGAAATATGACTCATTGGTTCAAGCTCAGGCTCGGGAGCTCTCTCATCTTCGGCAGGCAATGCGAGAGGGACAAGGGTTGTGTTGCATGCTGAGCCAACACTTCAAGAACACCACCAAGTCCTTTGAGGATCTCCTGCAGGGCACCGACGTCGATTACTTCTTGGCACAGAGCTTTCGAGAACAACTGACACAAGGGAACCAGCTGACAGGACGGCTGACCAGGAAACTGAGCTGCCGTGAGTTCAATGCCTGTCAAAAAGCTTAAATTAGAGGGTTTTAAAAAAAAATAATAAAAATGAGTATTGCCAACCAGAAAGCTCACAAATAATTACTCCCTGTAATGTTTTTTGTGACTATCTTAGAAGATGACTTAACCCTCTACTTCACTTTTGTAGCATAAAGAATGTAGGTATTCTTGAAGGCTTTCAAAGCCAGAATCACGGGGGGTGTTGTGTGGTTTCTGGGCTGTGTGGCTATGTCCTAGCAGCATTTCCGCCTGATGTTTCACCTGCACCTGTGGATGGCATCTTTAGATATTCCACAGGTAGATATACATCACTTCCTTGACGACTATCAGATCTTCTGAAGATGCCCGCCACAGATGCAGACGAAACATCAAGATAAAATGGTGCTAAAACACGGCTATACAGCCTGGAAGCCACACAACACCCCGTAAAGAATGTAGACGCAAAGACATTAAGCTAATACTTCTAAGTATTCACATCTTCTAGAGCAGCTTCTCCAATGCTATGCATGCCTCCCCAGATGTCTTCTGCCTCACTTGCAGGCCCTTGAAAAAAAAATCCCTCCCAGGATTGGCACTTGCAGAACCCCAAGAGCAAGGAACGATAATGTGATGTGCTGCAATGAAACTCCTTACCCCCAAGGACTTCCTGCTGTGTTTATTTATTTACTTTATTTTGGTCCTGCCTTTCCCCACAAAACTGGGAATCAAGGCAGTGTATAATGTAAGATCAATACTATTGAAAAGGGAAAACAGTAAAGAATAATATAAACAAGTGAATAGCATGTTAAATTGTAACTCGCCTTGAACCACGAGGTGAGGCAGGTAAGAAATAAAATTATTATTATTATTATTATTATTATTATTATTATTATTATTATCTGAAACACAACAAGATGAGTCCACAGCAGACACTCTGCTGGCTGTTGTATTGGATCACATGTTGGACACTTCCCAAGTGTCTAGGACTGTGTGATGTATCGGCGAATAATGTGTGCAGATCCCAGTAAGGTGGCCTTTTGCAACTGGCAGATGGAAATTTTGTCAGCGCCGATTGTGTTTAAGTGCAGGCCAAGGTATTTAGGCACTGCACCCAGTGTGCCGATCACCACTGGGTCCACCTGGACTGGCTTGTGCCAGAGTCTTTGCAGTTTGATCTTTAAATCCTCATATCGTGCCAGCTTTTCCAGTTGTTTCTCTTCAATCCTGCTGTCACCTGGGATTGCAACATCAATGATCTGTACTTTGTTTTTTAACACGATCGTGAGGTCAGGAGTATTGTGCTCCAAAACTTTGTCAGTCTGAATTTGGAAGTCCCAGCGTAGTTTGACTATTATTATTATTATTATTATTATTATTATTATTATTATTATTATTATTAAATGATGTAAGAAATTATAACAATTTAAAACCATGCGCATGCGGTTGAAATCATGGAGCCCCAAAAGACAACCATGTTTTCACTTAGTATTGTAAAGAAACCAGCTCTATGGTCAGTTGAGACCTCCAAGTGAGGAACATCCCACAGTCAGAACATCCTACAAACATACACTCTCTTCGACATCCTCCACTAGTTGGATGCAGAGGAGGTCCCCTTCAGCAGAGCCCAGTCCTTGGGCAGGTGTATGTAGGAAAAGGCATTCCTTAAAGTAGCAAGGTCCCAGGATGTTTAGAGGTTGAAATGTCATCACAAACGCCGTGAATTCAAAGTAGAAGCATATTGATTGAGCCATTGGTGGAAATCAGACTGGACATGTAGGGGGAAATAGAGTTTGGCCTTCCATAAAGTTAAGATCTTCTATTGTGAGGTGACTGACTAATCTTTTGTCTCTGAATTATTTTTGCAGGGAATGATTTAAACGTGGAGGACAAATCAAGCCATGAAGTGCTGGCTCTAAGGTAATAAGAATGGATCCCTTTGTTGTTGAGTGGTGTAGAGTATTGTGCATGAGTCCCTTTGTTGTTGTGAAGTCAATTATTATTATTGGGTTGTAGATTTTTTTGGCTATATGGCCATGTTCTAGAGGCATTCTCTCCTGACGGTTCGGCTGCATCTATGCAGGTGAAACGTCAGGAGAGAATGCCTCTAAAACATGGCCATATAGCCCGAAAAAACCTACAACAACCCAGTGATTCCGGCCATGAAAGCCTTCGACAATTATTATAATAATAATAATTATTACTAGCCATCCCCTGCCATGCGTTGCTGTGGCCCTGTCTGTGTATATGTGTTTTTGTGTGTATATATGTGTAAGTATATATTTGTGTATATGTGTATTTATGTGGTTATGCACATACGTTGTAATGTAATGTAATGGGGTTTTTTTTGGCTTTTTAAGTCTCTTCTGCTGTGTTTTTCAGTGTATTCATAAGTGATGGGCACTCATTGGCCTGATAGGTGTCTTGTGACCAAATTTGGTGTCAGTTCGTCCAGTGGTTTTTGAGTTATGTTAATCCCACAAACGAACATTACATTTTTATTTATATAGATTAATATTTATTTATTTCGTGTATTTGTATCCCATCCTTCTCACCCCCAGGGGGGACTTAGAGTGGCTTCACAACAGGCATTCATTCAATGCCAACAACAGTCATAAATAATAATACAATTAAAACAGTTAATTAAAACATTAAATTACTAAGACAGTTGATTAAAATCACGCAGGTTTAAAATCAAAGTTTGGATCAGTCAATTGTAATTCACACAAATTGAGTCTTATTTTAATAGCTGCCTCTACTATTCAAGTGCTTGGTCCAATAATCAGGTTGTGAGTTTCTTTCTAAAGGACAGGAGGAAGGGGGCCAATCTGATGTCATTGGGAAGAGAGTTCCACAGTTCCACATTTCTGACTGATGACAACCCTAAGCTGATTCATGGGATGTTCTTGGCAAACTTTGTTCAAAAGCAATGTGCTATTTCCATCCTCTGCGGCAAAGAGTATGTGACTTGCTCAGGGTGACCTGGTGGTTCAACCCAAGGATTTGAACCCTGATTTCTAGAATTCCAGCAAAACACCTAAGTCATGCTAGCTGTAGACTTATATTTTACATTCCCTGCATAGTGTGCATGTCAACTGACAGAATAATACTTTTTTAAAAAATTTATTATCCACAGCCCTGTCTATTAGGCTCAGAAAACACTCTTGTTTTCCAATGGCTCAATAGCAACAGCTGTCATTTGAGCATCTCATTGGAAAAATTGGGCTAACTCATGGCCTTATTAATATGGAGCCCTTCACAACCTTGGCCTGAGTTCGCTTCACTGTAGCCTCTATCAGATTATTGATTGTCTGAAAGATAAGTGGGGAATTGAGAGCTGATCCTCAGAAGGAAGTGAAAGGAATATTGGTGCAAATGCTCCTAATGGTCTCCATCCACAGGTTGAGCAAGGAGCTTGAAGAGAAGGAGCAAATCATCAAGACTCTCCAGGCTAAGCTCCATGTGCACTCAGTATCCCCTTCCAGTAACCACAGCATGTCTGAGTCGTCCCGCTCTGGCAGTAGCACTTCCTTTCTCTCTGATGGCTTGGAGGGCTGCTCTGACATGGAGGATGCCACTGAGTACAGTTCCTACCAGGAGGATGCCAGTGGAGACCAGTTCCACAGCCTCTCAGCAGACAAAGGTATAACCTTTTGGTTTTGGGTGAGCTGTTTTGTCATCCTTGTTCACTGAGAAGTAGGACATAAATACTTTATGTGTGTTGTAGGTCTATTCCTCTGACAAAAACTGTTCAATGGAAGAAACTGTGCCAAGCTCAGCAATCTTCATTGCCTAAAACATTTGACCACTGAGCTGGATTGTGGAAGCCCAGTTAGAAATCTTGCATGCTTTTGTCAGCTAAAAAGTGAATCATAATGCAACCTAATTTTAAAAATCTTGGTGTCTTGGTTTTTCAGCTTGTTCCTGGGATTGGGTTGTTGTAGGTTTTTTGAGCTGTATGGCCATGTTCTAGAAGCATTCTCTCCTGACATTTTGCCTGCATCTGTGGCAAGCATCCTCAGAGGTTGAGAGGTTTGTTGGAAGCTAGGAAAATTTGGTTTATATATATATGGAAGGTCCAGGGTGGGAGAAAGAGCTCCTGTCTGTTGGAGCCAGGTGTGAATGCTTCAATTGGCCACCTTGATTTGTATTTGATGGCCTGATAGTTTGGCTTGTTGCTGCCTGGGAAATTCCTTTGTTGAGATGTTCCAGATTGTTTCTTGTCTGGAGTTCCCCTGTGTTTGAGTTTTGTTTTTTATTTACTGTTATAATTTCATAGTTTTTTTAGTACTGGTAGCCAGATTTTGTTCATTTTCATGGTTTCTTCCTTTCTGTTGAAATTGTCCATATGCTTGTAGATTTCAATGGCTTTTCTATGTAGCCTGATATAGTAGTTGTTAGAGTGGCCCAGCATTTCTGTCTTCTCAGATAATATGCTATGTCCAGGTTGGTTCATCAGGTGCTCTGCTATGGCTGACTTCTCTGGTTGAAGTAGTCTGCAGTGCCTTTCATGTTCACACCTACCTCCAACAGACAAGAGTTCTTTCTCCCACCCTGAACCTTCCACAGATATATAAATGCAATTTTCCTAGTTTCCAACAAACCTCACAACCTTTGAGGATGCCTGCCATAGATGCAGGCAAAATATCAGGAGATAATACTTCTAGAACATGGCCATACAGCCCGAAAAACCTACAACAACCCAGTGATTCCGGCCATGAAAGCATTCAACAATATATTGTTCCCAAGATTATTTGGAGCACTAATTCAGAAAATTGCATTGGATAGTCCGCATCCACTCTAGTTTCTTAGATATTTATTTATTTGTTTATTTACAGTATTTATATTCTGCCCTTCTCACCTCGCGGGGGACTCAGGGTTGATTACAATGTACATATACATGGTAAACATTCAATGCCATAGACATACAACATATATAGACAGACACAGAGGCAATTTAACATTCCAGATTTTCTTGAGGGTATTTTGGCCACCAGGGGAGCTGTCGCTTCACCATCCATTTGTGACTCTGATGGAGAACTCCCTCATTCTTTGCATGCTTGCTGGAGAGTTTTATGGCCTTGTAAATTATTTAAATTAGCCTCTCCGCATAAGCGGTACCTAAATTTCCTACTTGACAGATGCAACTGTCTTTCGGGCTGCAAAGGTCGACAGCAAGCTGCACAAATTAGTCAGATGCTCACTCTGACCTGGGTTGGTTTCAAACTCATGACCTTTCTGTCAGTAGTGATCTTAACATGATAGGTTAACATGATTTTCTATGAGATATGGTTAACATGATATTCTATGAGCGAGCAGATGAAGACTGGTATATGGCATATATTTTGTATCACCAAAACTACAGCTGATAGGAGAAAGCCAGTGCCGTTTTTTGAATCAGCAGATCAGATATACCCAGAAACTGATCTAACCTTTCAGGCACCAAAATATGTGTTGGCCAGTCCAATAAATGCCAGGCCATTCAAAAGTAAAATACTGGAATGACAATAATGTCCGCTGAGAATGTGCATTTCAGAACTGAAATGTATCTCTAGGTGGACTTTGGAAGCTCTCATTTATTATAAGAATACTAAGCAATCAAATAAAATGTGGCAATGGCTCACATCATGAAGTTCTGTTGTGCTCCCACTGGCTTGAAGTCCTAATGTTTAATCCATCCATGAAAAAGTTGAATTTACTATCGGGGTGGTGGGGGTCTTGTTGAACCACACATTCTGTATTGGTAACAGAGACTATGTATACGATTGCAATTTCTCTCCTCTTTTCTTCCAGATCCTGGCCATCAACTTGGCAAAACCTCTGCCCAACCATCTCACCCAGCCTTTGGTCCCACCTCCTCTGCTGCTCCAGCAGAATCCGCACAAAGAAACTTTGCTTTGCCTCCTTCCCAGCATGCCTTAATGACAGTCAGCCAGACCTCCGGAGGTATGGTCCCCATAACCATCATAGGAGCTGTGGGCTACAATTGCAAGGGTCAAGGGGCGGGATCATAAAAAAACGTGGTTTTAGGGTTGACTTTTCCCTCTTTCATTCTGTGCTTTTTATTAAGGTAATAATATTAATAAATGCTGGGAACTATGTTATGGAGACCAGCATGGGGAATATATGTGTTCATAGAATCATAGACCTGCAAGAGACCACATGGGCCATCCAGTCAATGTGATTCAGAATTCTCTGGGTTTTGTCCTGGAGCCTTTCACCATAAAACGCAAAGCTAGATTTAATCAAAAACTATTTCTTTAAACATCGGGAAAGACTTCTGATGAGGAATCTTCACTGCCCTATAAAGCAGTTCCAGAATGCAGCTGAACTGAAATGAACTGGATTATATGGCAGTGTAGACTCATGCAATCCCGTTCAATGCCATTAATCTACAATCTGAAATTGCATTATATGGCAGTGTGTCATAAATGACTTTTCAATAACAAGCATAGGTTCTTTTTATTGCAATTTCCAGTGTGAGAGGGGACATCAGATTACAGAAAAACGTTTAGACAAATAATGACATTGGACATACAGACATATAGATTCTATGCAACTACATTGGATTTACAATTACATTGGCTAACAAACAAACAAAGGGGAATTGCATTTTCAGCATTCACACGCATGTGCACGCATTCATCCTCAGGCATTCAAATTTTACCATATCATTTTCTCCCTCCTTGGAGAAGCACCTGTTAGACCAGACCCTGCTTTCCTGCAACCTGCCAATGCATAGTTCCAAAACTTCTATAACGCCATAACTTCAAAACGCCAAAATGCCAAAACTTCTTCCCTGCACAAAATCTAAGACTCCAAAAGGGCACTTCTTCCTCTTCCCTTGAGAAAGAAGCCCCAAAGTGATCAGACTGCTCCCTTGCAAATCTACAACTCTCCATACGTACACTATCTCCCTCTTTCCCATGGAGCAAAGCTTGGCTGGTGGAACAGACTCCTCAGGTCTGCCACACTTTGAGCATTATTAGACTGAGTCTTTTATAGTAATATTCTGCTGATGAAGTCCCAAAGTTGTAAATTAATGATAGATCATGGCTCCATATCAGTTTCCTGGCCAGGTGTTGATTCTTCTTGATTGGTGTTAACAAACACAAGGCTTGTTTTGACTTCCTTCTTAACATAAGGAATGTTGCAAACATTTCTGTTATCATGGTCCCAGTTCTTATCGGAATTTACTTTTCATTTCTCATTAGCAACTTTTAATTATAGTCCAGCCAGCAGGTATTGCAGGCCTTAATATTATACTGTTGTCTCCAAAATTATTAACTCCATCCATACATCTTCCATTATTCCATTCATTCCCATACACCATTAAATCCACATTTATCAAATCTGCAATGATATTTTCGTGACAAGTGTAGATCCAGCCTGAGCAAGGGACTTTGCGACTTCTACATACCTTGAGCACTGATAGCCTCTCAATGTAAAAGTTACTCACTTGCTATTAACAGGAAGCTAATTTGCATTAAAATCATAGAATAATAGTGTTGGAAGAGACCACATGGGCCATCTAGTCCAGTCCCCTGCCATGCAGGAAAAGCACCATCAAAGTATCCCTGACACATGGCCATCCAACCTCGGTTTAAAAGCTTCCAAGGAAGGAGCTTCCATTCTGTATTTTTTATGGATCAATCCTTTAGTTGGTATTTCCGGTTTCATCACACCTTTTGTAAGTGTTGTTTTTCATCCTATCAACAATCTGTTCAGTTCAATGGTGTCATGGTACCTTTACCTCTTGAATGTAGATCTGTTGCATGATCCACATCAATGAAGAGGCTCAGAATGCTGGATCTTCATGGAATGCCAACTTCTAGTCAACAGTCAACACATAACCTTTTAATGTGCTCTCACAGAATGAATTCACACCCCAAGGTCAAGTCAGCCATTACATGATACACTGAAAATCCCAATAACGGAGAATACCTGGCTGGGTGAAGTAGTGTTATTTTGGGGATATGTGAAAAATTGCATAAGTCACTGACTTATAGTCACCAAATGCACAAAAAAATTTTTTTGTATTTTTCTGGTTTTTTTGCTTTGTTCTGTTAGAAATGTAATATAATCAACTGGTTGCACTGACACGATAAATAAATAACCAAATGCACAAGGAATAAAAAATATTCACAGAATAAAATGGATTTGGAAAAACCATGCTGCTCACTAGCTACATTATTGGCATGGTCCAGGAGGTGCCAATGCCATTTGTGCAAATATATTATATGCCCGTCATCATTATCATCAACATTTTATGTGTTATCCACCTCTCCTCATGGCTTGAGCTGGGGTACAATACAGTCTAAACCAGGGGTCCACAAACTTTTTAAACAGAGAGCCATGTCACAGTCCCTCAAACTGTTGGAGGGCGGATTATAATTTGAAAAAAAAACCATGAATTCCTATGCACACTGCACATATCTTATTTGTAATGCAAAAAAAACACTTTAAAACAATACAATATTTAAAATGAATAACAATTTTAACAAATATAAACTTACTAGTATTTCAATGGGAAGTGTGGGCCCGCTTTTGGCTGATGAGATAGGATTGTTGTTGTTGTTTTGTGCTTTCAAGTCGTTTCAGACTTAGGTTGACCCTGAGCGAGGGCAGGTAAATTATTTATAATTATTATTATTATTATTATTATTATTATTATTAAACTTTATTTGTACCCCGCTAGCATCTCCCGAAGGATTCGATGCGGCTTACACAGGCCGAGGCCTCAACACACAACACAACAATACAATCTAAGCAAATCAAACAATTAAAAACAGAATAAAGCAAAATAAACAACAGGCACAATACAGTAAACACAATAAAACTGGGCCGGGCCAGAGCAATGGGTACAAGATTAAAAGTGCTGATGTGACAGGAGGTGTATATAGGGCTTCCAGGGCAAGTGCGATGTGCAGCAATCATTGGTTCTGATAAAGTGCTTATGGGACTTGGTGGTGGAGATTTCCTAATCTGGGAAGGCGCATCGGAAAAGCCAGGTCTTCAAGTTCTTTCTGAAGGCAGCCAATGTAGGGGCCTGTCTAAGGTCTTTGGGGAGGGTGTTCCAGAGTCGGGGGGCCACCACGGAAAAGGCCCTGTCCCGCGTCCCCACCAAGCGCGCTTGCGATGCCGGTGGGATCACGAGCAGGGCCTCTCCAGATGACCTTGGAGGGCCGTATCTGGCCCCCGGGCCTTAGTTTGAGGACCTCTGGTCTAAACCAATGACTTCAATGTGGTTGTAACATGGTAGAATCAGAAGTAAACGTAGTGTTATCTACTAAGCCCATGCTTAATATTATTACAGCTTCCCCATATAATGGCTATACAGACTTTGCTTAAATTATGGGTGGATACTTGTGAACCTCCTGTGCATATCTAGTGGGTCATACCATGTTTTGGTGAGCTAATGTCACTTCAGGCTACCATTTTAGTCCATTTTTTTTGCAAGTGGGGTGGTTGTGGGTTCAGCAAGAAGTAAATTTCCACATTTGCAGCTGGTTTAAATATATATTGTGAAAGAATATACCATCTTCCCATGCAGTCTGTTCCATAGTCAAATATCTCATATGGTAAGAATAATTTTTTTTTTAAAAAAAAGGTTAGGCTGAAAATTAATTCAGTTTATTATTAAGTAATCAATCTACTGCTGTTAGTAGTAATTCATTACATCAATAGTTATTTTAACAAAAAAAGTGTAGGCTGTCTGCAGAACCAAACTCCTATTCTATGCAAAACTTTAATAAACTTCACAGCAGAGCTCTGGTTTCCTGCAAAATATTCAACAGCTACAGATCAGAGCTATTGAGTCAAAATGCAATAATAGTCAATGTATGGTGATCATTATGCTAAAAAAAATGAACAAGTACAGTATGTGCCTTGAGGAGCTAAAAGCAAAATGTTGTTTCTCACTCATTATTTAAAAGAAAACCTTTTCACCTAATGCTTCACCAGAACTTGCATTCCTGTTGTTTCCACCTTTAGTTCTAATGATGCTTCTTTTCCATCTTGAAAGCCTTGCAGATACTTTGAAGATGGTTTTGAGATCTTCTTTAATCTTTTCTTTAGTAGCCTAAACATGCCTTGTTCTTTCAGGCATTCCTCATACGTACAACTTGGTTTCCAGACATCTCCTCATTGGACATGCTCTGGTTCAGTTGTGTCCAACCAATGGTCCTGTTTTGGTAGGTGTTTTGGCCTTCAGCTCCCAGAATTTTTGACAATTGGAAAAGTTGGCCAGGCTTGTGGGAGTTGGAGTCCCAAACTCCTGAGGAACCAAAGATTGGACACCACAACTCTAGCTGATCAGTATCCTTCATACCCAGTGTTCCCAGAACTGGGTAGATGTGCTCTGATCAGTGCATGGGATTAATTGACATGATGCTTCTGTTAACGAAGTCTAAGATTTCCTTAGTTTTGAAAAAAAAACCAAGTAGCGCCTCATTATCATGTCGGCAACATAACTTGTCTCTCGTCTCTCTTCTCTGTCTAGGCTTCCATCCTGAGTCCTTATCCCAGCCACCTAGTTTCCCTTTGTTTCCATTTGAGCCCAAGCCCTGTTCCTTCATGCCTCTGGGGCCTCCTCCTCCTCCAGCTCCTGCTCTACTCCTTGGCTGCTGCAGAACACCGGTCTTCTCATTGGCCGAGGCACAGCAGGAGTTGCAGATGCTGCAGAAGCAGCTGGGAGAAAGTGAGCACTTTGGCCTTGATGCCCTCTCCCCTCCGGCATGTCATGTTGCATGGTGTGATGAACCACATTTTTTGCATGGCTTCCTTTCATCACAACATGGAGAGGCAGTTTCCCAGGATAGAGACATCACTGTGTTTTGCCTTCAAGTCATGTCTGGACATAAGGTGACCTTAAGTCAAAACTATGACAGGGTTTTCTTGGCAAAAGGTATTCAAAGGGGACAGATCCTGCCCAAGATCAACCAGAGGGTTTTAATGGCCAAGCAAGGATTCAGTCCCTAGAACCCTACTTCTTCAGTGTCCTAATTTAACACTCAAACCACTACTGGCTCTAGAGAAGTCATAGAATCATCAAATCCTAGAGTTGGAAGAGACCTCATGGGCCATCGAGTCCAACTCCTTGCCAAGAAGAAGGAAAAGTAATTCAAAGCACCTCCGACAGATGGCCATCCAGCCTCTGTTTAAAAGCTTCCAAAGAAGGAGCCTCCACCACACTCCAGGGCAGAGAGTTCCACTGTTGAACAGTCACAGTCAGGAAGTTCTTCCTAATGTTCAAATGAAATCTCCTTTCATGTAGTTTGAAGCCATTGTTCCACGTCCTAGTCTCCAGGGCAGCAGAAAACAAGCTTGCTCCCTCCTCCCTGTGACTTCCTCTCACTTATTTATATATGGCTATCATGTCTCCTCTCAGCCTTCTCTTCTTCAGGCTAAACATGCCCAGCTCTTTAAGCCACTCCTCATAGGGCTTGTTCTCCAGGCCCTTGATCATTTTAGTTGCCCTCCTCTGGAAACATTCCAGCTTGTCAATATCTCTCTTCAGTTGTGGTGCCCAGAATTGGACATAATATTCCAGGTGTTGTCTAACCAAAGCAGACTAGAGGGATAGCATGACTTCCATGGATCTAGACACTATACTCCTATTGAAGAAGGCTAAAATCCCGTTGGCTTTTTTTACCACTGCATCACATTGTTGGCTCATGTTTAACTTGTTGTTCACAAGGACCCCAAGATCTTTTTCACACGTACTGCTCTCGAGCCACACATCCAAGATATAATTTTTGGTGAGAGTTGCTTTGAGCTGTTTGCTGTGCATCTGCCATTCTGTTTGTGGGCTGGACAAGTTGGTTAAGAAAGAGAATTAAGGACTTTGTAGTGGATCTATGAGCAGACTAGAAGGCCTTTGTTCTAGCCTGGACTCCATGGCAATGCTCTTCATAGCTGAAATGCATGTCTGAGTGTATCAGCTGGAATACTTAAAAAGGCGAGAAGGAATTAAGTTGTGGGAGGCCAAAGTCATGATCCCTAAGAAATGAATGAGAAGGAAAATCAGATGAAAAAGCAACTAATATATTGGGAGGGAGGGAGATTGTGAGACTACTTTGCAAAGGCTGTAGGAAGAGTGGCATGGATCAATACATCTCCAGAATCTGGCTTTTTCGTGCAGAACAATCTGTTGTGTTGATGAGGGTGAATTCTACCTTTAAAGACTTGCTTTCCTTGCTCCTTTATAAAAACTTCTGGTTTCTATTTCTTGTTGTTACATTTTTGTCCTGACCTTCCTTAGAGGAATTTTTGTGCAGATAGTTCTGCACAATTCTGTGTACACTTTCATACAGACACTTTAATCCTTCCAGTCACCCTGTGTGAAATGATAAACAATAGAGACTGGCCCAAAGTCAAACTTTTTATTTTGTATGGGGATCTGTGCCGTGGGTTCCCAGATGCACATCCAACACTTCACTCCCTCATTTTTTCATGTTCCTCCTCTGTGCTCCTAGCAGTGCTTTTGAATTTTCCTTGCACTTTTTTCCTTGCAAAACCAATAATATATTTTAAGATGAATGTGTGTCGATCCAAGTCCAATCTGAATTGAAACCAGGATTTCTTCAGTCTATACCACACTGCTTGAACTGTCATAAAGGTTCAGCCAACCCATAGTGTCCTGATGCATCTGTCTTGGGAGTGGATAGTGAGCTATCCGCTCTGTCAAGAGCTGCAGACTGTCCAGCAGACCAAGAAGAGCTACTTCATCCCCAGGACATTTGGTGCTACCCAGTTGGGCGATATCTCACTTATAGTAAGGGGATGGGATTTCTTTGCTCCATAGCCATTGTGGAGCCCAGGGAAGAAACACAAGAGCTTTGACAAAGTCTATTTTTGGACTGCTGTTGCTCCCCTATGAGAAAAAGTAAGTGGGAGAAGTATACCAGTCTCCTCTCTTTTGCTTTGAGATGCTGCTGCTGTGTAACCTTCACAGTGCCATATTCCAATTCAAGGGTGTGGGGACCTCCATTTGTCCCAGTGCTGCCAAGGCCACTTATGGGGACCTCCTAGGTTTCCTTGTGGCTCCTTTCATAGAATCATAGAATCAAAGAGTTGGAAGAGACCTCATGGGGCATCCAGTCCAACCCCCTGCCAAGAAGCAGGAATATTGCATTCAAAGCACCCCTGACAGATGGCCATCCAGCCTCTGTTTAAAAGCTTCCAAAGAAGGAGCCTCCACCACACTCTGGGCAGAGAGTTCCACTGCTGAACGGCTCTCACAGTCAGGAAGTTCTTCCTCATGTTCAGATGGAATCTCCTCTCTTGTAGTTTGAAGCCATTGTTCCGCGTCCTAGTCTCCAAGGAAGCAGAAAACAAGCTTGCTCCCTCCTCCCTGTGGCTTCCTCTCACATATTTATACATGGCTATCATCTCTCCTCTCAGCCTTCTCTTCTTCAGGCTAAACATGCCCAGCTCCTTAAGCCGCTCCTCATAGGGCTTGTTCTCCAGACCCTTGATCATTTTAGTTGCCCTCCTATGGACACATTCCACTTGATCCTGCCCAAGATCAAGTGGAGTGACTCTTTCTTTGTGACTCTTTCTTCCTATAACCCCACAATTAAACACTATCTACCCTTGAACCATTGCTGCCCTCACAGACACCGCATGTCAGAACTTAACCACTATGGTTGCATTATTACATGTCAGAACTTAACCACTATGGTTACATTATTAAATTACATAGATCTACAATGAAGACTGAATCTGCACGAGAGCTGTATCCCGGCTCCAGTGCTGTGCTTCCAGGTCACTGCTTTTTAAACCGTGGGTCCCAACCTCAAATTTGGCCCCCTTCACTCAGTGTTGGGGTTATGAATAATTTGACAACAGTGGCAGGTTTCTGAATGCCCCTAGTGGCTGTTTTAGATATTTGCATGATTCTGATAACAACACTGTGCAGTGCTTACAGAGGACTCTGCAGGAAATGCTTCAGCTGTACTTCATAAAAAGGAAAGTCAGCCTGTTTAGCAAGCCTGGCAAATGGAGATTTATTATTATCAATATATGTTTGATTTTATACCTATATACGTGGGCTGTGTAAACATTTCTGGGCAAAAACAGATTGCAAGTGGAAAAATTTTAAGAAGATGGAGATGATGCAGTTTGCACTCTTCCTTCCTTCTGATTTATGTCTGTCTTTTCTGCCCAGGCATAAAGGTCCCGACACCAACACCAGTAAAGCCAGGGCCACTTGCTGGCCTTTCTTCTATAGGCAGCCCTGCCCTCTCCTCCAAAGACTGTTGCAAAGGCTGTCCGCATTCTCCTCAGTCATTTCCCATGCAAAACTGTCCTGAGTGGAGCAGGAAATCTGGAGGATGCATTGCAGGGAACAGCCCTCTCTGGTACATGCCTCCCTTCACACAGACGCAAGACAAACCTGTCTCTGGAACCTTGCCATCATGTTTGTCAGCAGCATTTTCTGGCCAGCTCTCAGGTAAGAACTTGTGATTGGTACACTCTTTTATGCATGAATAATTTACTTATTTATTGTCAAAGGCTTTCATGGCCGGAATCACTGGGTTGTTGTAGGTTTTTTTGGGCTATATGGCCATGGTCTAGAGGCATTCTCTCCTGACGTTTCGGCTTGCCATAGATGCAGGCGAAACATCAGGAGAGAATGCCTCTAGACCATGGCCATATATCCCAAAAAAACCTACAACAACCCAATTTACTTATTTATTTGCCATATTTATACCCCACCTTTCTCTACCCAAGCAGGGGGAATCAAGGCTTACAATGGCACATACACAGTGCCTCAAAACAACAAATACTTTAAGTGAACTGTTGGATTTTACAAATTATGCTGCAAATTAATTGGAATCTTAAGAGCATGAGCCCCTTCTTTTTGTGGAAAATGTAGCACTCAAAATGTTACCTCACTTTTTAGGAGTCATAGGGACTGTTGTAACATAAATTTTGCCCCCTTTTGTGCTATTTTAGACCCAAGGGTGATTTCCTTTCTGTTGAGAAAGTCAGCTTTTTCCATGTTGAACACATACAATAAATGATAAAGTCAAGTTTTATAAAGTTTCATGGGTGGAGTCACTATAGATCATGAATAATTTGTGACATTACCGCCTTTGTCACAAGTATGTTTGGTGGAGACGAGAGACAGGGCCTTCTCGGTGGTGGCCCCTCGGCTGTGGAACGCCCTCCCTATAGATATTAGATCGGCCACCTCCCTTTTAACATTGAACAAGCATTTGCAAGTGCAGAGTAACTGACACAGGAAAATGGAACGACTAGACAATGAGTCCAGACAACGTTTTTAACAAGGAGACACTATGAATTTATATTTTATTGATTTGCTTAGTTTTTATTATATGTTATGTTTTTAATTGTATTTATGACATTGTAAACATTGAATTGTGCCCTGTTAACTGCCTTGAGTCATCTACGGGCTGGGAAAGGTGGTATACAAATATAGTAAATAAATAAATAATAAATAATAAATCAATATACAAATACAGTAAATCAATAAATAATAAATAATTCAATAGATATCAGGAACTGGAGATTAACAGTTCCTGGAAGTTTGTTTCCAGATCTTTTCCTGGTGAGGTTTGCAGCTGCTTTAATTTTGTTATTGAGAAATAAGATGCATGATTTTGAGTTTTCAGCTCTGGCTACAATGTGAGTTATGGTGATCCCAGCTGTTCTGCTGGAATGTACAGTCCAGCCTCCTTTTATACCCCAAATTCCCTGATGTGTCATAATTAGTCCAAACCCACCAAATATTTTCCCTGATTCGCCTTTTGCTTGTGTCCACACACATCTTCCCTTCTCGATGCTGATTTGCTGGAGGACACAGGTGCTGCTTTGTTGGAGGAACATCTGTCTGAGATCCGACTACTCCGCCAGCGCCTTGAGGAGTCCATTTGCACCAATGACCATCTGAGGGAGCAACTGGAGACACGCCTCGCCTCAGTGGCAAAACCCACTGGTAGGAGGATAGTCTGTGTCACTTCTCAGGGAGGGGACCATTGTGAATGGTAGTCCAACTCAGAATGTGCAGCAGGCCACTATTATTGAGGCTACGCAACCATTAACATATGTCTACAGGAAGACGGGAAAGGGGTTGAAAGTGGAAGGAGCCTTACATGCAGAAAGAGGCTTTGCATTCCACAGTGTCTTGAGTTGTCCTTCAAAAACAGCCTTTAAACAATGTTGACAGTAAAAGAAAAATGCTTTACTTCAGCAAACACAAAGGATAAGCAAATGCAATTGAAAAGTGCAAAGGAAAGCAAGGAAATCTTAATCCAGACACAAATTAAAGTCTCTTACGAAGTCCCAAAAGAAACACCAGTCTTCCATCAGACAACAGACGATGAACTAAGTTCTTAGCAGCAGACACAAAGCAGATTCGATTGGAGTGAAAACATCAGTATCACGGTCGTTGTTACCAGCGAAAGCTGACTGCTCCTCCTACTGATTTATAGCCCTGAATTCCCCATGCAGGAGGTGCTGGGGCGTCTCCCAATTAGCTCAGCGTTTTTAGCAGCTATCCTAGCTGAACACTGTCTGTGCTCTGTCTCTTTTTGTCTCTCTAGAAATGTGGGCACTCTCAAACCCTCATTGTCTGATTCTTCTTCTCCCTCCGTTCCTGAGCACTTCCCTGCTCCCCTTCTTCCTCCGAAGATGAGGAATCCCTAACACACAGGGATACAAATAAGTCAAAATTATAGGAGAGGGGAAACATGTTGCTGGAAGAATAACTATAACAATAAACCATTTTGTTTCCACTTTACAATAATTGTGGGTAGACAGTTCTAATGAGTGTGTACAGAAACAGTGTGACCTCCAACACAGCTTTGTTTGCGTTGCATTTAAATACTTGAGTGAGTAAAAGGTGAAGGGTCTCTGGGAACTAGATGCATAACCTTGGGGGCTATCACTTCCTTTAAAGTATTCATTAGTTTAGAAGGGAATCAGGGAGTAGTGCCTGAAGGCACACCAGAAAGCTTCATGAAGGGAATTGAGACCCATCACTATGAGAGGCTCTTTGAGGGACCACACAAGATAGGACCTTCTTAGGACATCATCACATAGAGGTCCCTAATGTGAGTAACAGCAGGGGAATTCGCTAAGCAGCTGGGGAAACTGTTGTCCCACGACCTGCATTGCCCACATTGCTGCCTTCCCTATCACATTAGGGAAAGCATCGCCACCCAGCTTCCCCCCACGTTGGTCTTGTTATGCACTATGAGAACAAAGCTAGCCACCCATGTTTCCAGGGCTTTTGTTGGAGTTCAACCTGTGATTGTGTCTAATGATCAGGGTACTCTGGATGATAATGATGTTTCTAATGATGAGGTTGCTCTAGATGCAGAGAATGACAATGGGATTCCTGTCCAAAGTGTATTTTCTGATGAGAATGTTCCTGAAGGGTTTGGGAATGATGGTAGGATCCCTGGAAGAGGGCCTGAATTGCTACCAGAGAATTCCCAGGACTTTGAGCCTGAGAAAAGCTCGGCACCTGTCCCAGCTGCAGAAATTAATGAGCCAGTAGATAGAAGGCATGTTTTCAGACAGTACAGGCAAACAAACCAATGTCTCAAGCGTTCTGCCAGACTGAGAGAGAGATTGATAAGAGTCAAGTCTGAAACAAAATCCGTTTGTGGCCACTTGGGACATAGAGTAGATTAGGGGATAAAAGTGCCAGGTACAGAATCTATAGTCAGACAAAGCAATGTTGGAATTGAGTCAAGATGTCTTTCCTGGTCCTTGGTAGTCTTGCCTTGGATATATTCGTGTGTTAAGTGCCTTGTTTGATTTCATGATTCAAGTTTTGGAGACTTACCTTTGAAGTTTCTGTGTTTGTTTTTCATGAACTCTGATGGACTACTTTCCTGGACTATTTGTTTCTGCTGATCTTTCTGTCTACTTGAATTTACCTATTTTTATGTAGTGTTTTTTTTACTGCTACTGCTTTTTAATTATCTTCAATAAACTGCTTGCATTTTACTCAGCTGTGTGGTGTTTCAAAGTCAGAGGACTTTTCCTGGCCTGGAACACAACAGCTTTGTATTAGAACGCTACCAGGATAGTGCCAGGATACAGCCATGCCAGAAGTAACCCTGCATTATGTCATGGGCTGTGGCGGGCTTTGTCCTGACCCCATTCTGGAAGTTTTAGCTTCTGGGTCAAAGGATAAAAATAGATAAGAGGACAACATACTTTTTTCCATATTATTTTACTGGTCCAGCAGTTTCTCTGCTCTTCACAATCCAAAGAACTTCACACAGATAGGAAAGTAGTTGTGTCAAAGCCATCTTCCTCCAACAGTTTTCCTCCTGCAGCAGATTTCTGATGGGCCTGCGGATTTTCCCCAAAGCCTTAGCACTAATAAACATATTTTGAGAGGTGGGTTCTGAAGAGCCCAGACTTCTGCCATATTCTTAGTTAGTTGTGGTGTCATAAATGTAAATAGGCTTCTCAAACGGGTTTCTCACAGAGATAATTGCAGCACTTGGTGTAAGGCTCTTTAATAAGAATGTATGAGATCACTCCTGACACATCTCTCTCATTCCCCCAGAGCTAGAGTGCCTCCAGGCAGCTTTCCTGGCATCACACTCAAAGATGCATGATGGCAAAGCTGTGTTGGAATGGCAGCAAATTGACCAGCAGAAGCTACAGGATGAGATCCGAGGCAAACAGCAAGACTTGATGCAACTTCAGGAGAAGTTTGTGGCTTCACAGATGAATAATTCCAGGTGTGTCAAATGGATTTGCCAACAGGATACTGCTTGAAAAGGAATAGTAAGAGAAAAGAGTGATGGAAACTGAGCATTTATTTAGTTTTCTGTGGATATGCAAGATTATTTTGAGATGATGGAATCAACAGGGTATCAATCATTGAGTAAATGGTTTCATTTGGGGTAGCCAGTGGCCCAAGGAGAAGTAAAAGATATATTTTGAAGAGACTCTTGGCTTGCTTTTAAAATGCCACTTGCCTACACAACAAAGATGGTGTTGCAGCTAAAGAACTAACAGAGGCCCAGTCCTGTTTGGAAAACAGCCCTTTAGTTAGTAGCCCCCAATCTTGTTGTGGTTTGAGTAGTGTATTGTCGAAGGCTTTCATGGATGGAGTCACTGGGTTGTTGTAGGTTTTTCAGGCTATATGCTAATCAAGGTGGCCGATTGAAACATGGACACCTAGTTCCAACAGACAAGAGTTCTTTCTCCCATCCTGGACCTTCCACAGATATATAAACCCAATTTTACTAGTTTCCAACATAGCTCACAACCAGATGCAGGTGAAACATCAGGAGAAAAGGATTCTAGAATATGGCCATACAGCCTGAAAAACCTACAACAACCTGGTTTGAGTAGTGGTTTGAACACTGGGCTCTATGACTTTGGAGACCAGGGTTCAGATCCCTACTTAGCCAATGAAACCCACTGAGTGATCTTGTCACACACTCTCAGCTTCAGAAGAAGGCAATAGCAAACACCCACTGAACAAGTGTTGCCAGTAATTACAGGAAAGTTGATTAGGAAAAACTTTCTGACTGTAAGAGCTGTTCACTGCCTCGGAGTATGGTGGAATCTCCTTCTTTGGAAACTTTTAAACAGAGGCTGGATGGACATCTGACAGGGGTGCTTTGATTGTGCTTTTCCTACATGGCAGGGAGTTGGACTGAATGGGCCTTGAGTTCTCTTCCAACTCTATGACTCCATGATACTGTGATAAAGTCTGCCTGCAATGGTAGTTTAAGAGCACTACAGTTTTCTGCTATTCTACTCTTCTCCACACAGCACCGGGACTGTGACGCAACTGGCTGGGAGTCAGCTACATTAAGATCACTACGGACCAAAAAAGGTCATGAGTTTGAAGCCAGTCCTGGTTTAGGTACCGCGTATGTGGGGAGGCTAATTTAATTAATTTACAATGCCATAAAAATCTCCAGCAAGCATGCAAAGAATGAGGAAGTACTCCATCAGTGTTACAAATGGACGGTGAAGTGACAGCTCCCCTAGTGGCCAGAATACCCTCATGAAAAAGCTAGAATGTTAAATAGCCTCTATGTGTCTGTCTATGTATGTTGTGTGTCTATGGCATTGAATGTTTGCCATGTATATGTACATTGTAATCTGTCCTGAGTCCCCTGCGGGGTGGAGATGGGAAGAATATAAATACTGTAAATAATAATAATAAATAACTCGCATATCTTGCTTGAGAAGGGAGTTCTGTTTCTTTGGGTAAACCAAGCCACTAACCTTTTTAAGATCATGGAACATCTTGAATTATTGAAATAAGAAAACATGTTGATTAAGTTATTCAAATTAAAGAAGTATATTTGCAGGAGTGATGTTTAAAAATTAGAAATGGCTGTTCTCCATATTATCTACCATGTAAAATGCATTTGCAATGCTGCTTTTGAAAATTAAACCTGCCTTTTTGAATTCTTGCAGGCTTCAGGACAGAGTGACAATTCTCCAACAGCAGTGTGAAGAAAACCAGCTCCTCCTCCAAGCCTTGCAGACTGAATTACATGTATATGAGGCAATGTGCCCTGTGCCAAAGCAGAAGGCCACAACAGGTCTGTGCTGGGTTCAGTTCCATCATTGGTGGAGTTCAGAATGCTCTTTGATTGTAGATGAACTATAAATCCCAGAAACTACAACTCCCAAATGACAAAATCAATTTTTTTTTAAATGATGGTTGCTCCTTGGGTTATTAGATATCTTGTGGCCAAATTTGGTGTCAATTCCCCAGTGGTTTTTGAGTTCTGTTAATCCCATAAATGAACATTACATTTTTATTTATATAGATTTACCGTATTTATATACCGCCTTTCTCAGCCCGAAGGCGACTCAAGGTGGTTTACAGTCGGGAGAATTCAATGCCCCCAACAACATAAATTACCATTAAAAGCAATTAACATATAATATAAAACCATATAAAACCAGTAAAAACATAAGTCCTCACTGTCTCATTACTAAAAACATTTTCCAGTTGTATTGTCGAAGGCTTTCATAGCTGGAATCACTGGGTTGTTGTAGGTTTTTTTCGGGCTATATAGCCATGGTGTAGAGGCATTATCTCCTGACGTTTCGCCTGCATCTATGGCAAGCATTCTCACTACCTCTGAGGATGCTTGCCATAGATGCAGGTGAAGCGTCAGGAGAGAATGCCTCTAGACCATGACCATATAGCCCAAAAAAACCCACAACAACCCATTTTCCAATCGCATCATCCAGTCATTCCGTGGGTCTAAATTTGCCAGTTACACTGCATTTGCAAAAGCTTGTTTTTGAAAAATTAGGAGGGAGGATGGCAATCTAATGTCCCTGGGAAGGAAGTTCCACAGCCAAGGGGCCACCGCTGAGAAGACCCCGTCTCTCGTCCCAACCAACTGCATCTGTGAAGACAGCAGGAGCAAGAGCAGGGCCTCCCCAGAAGATCTTGAGTCCTCTTTGCATACAGAGCTGGGCTTATAGTTTTATGCTTTGCTTTCAGAGTCACATGGGCAGGAAGACCTGGTTCCAATAGATGGTGTCAACAAACAAGGGATCCATGTCATAGGAAACTTCAAGGATTTCTGTACCCTTCAGAAACAGATTCTGGAGGGCAAGAATCTGATCCACAGGATGGCATTGCTCCTACAGCCTGGTCTGGAGCCACAGAGCAACAAGGTAATCAATAAGGTTGATAGCTGGGGTGCAGATTGTTCCTCTATAAAGATATTTATATTCATCATTTATAATTCTGAACCCACTCAATTACAGGGCTGCTAGTATGGGCACAGACCCATATGTGGCCACAGATCGCCGCTGCTGGTTGCTCATTTTAGGGGAGATAGCACTTGAGTACTGACACTAGATCCCTGTCTTTGCTCTCACAGGTCTTCTATATCGAAGTCATCAAGCAATTGCTGACTAGTGCTAGCTGTTTGCACCAGATCCTGGAGAAGTCAACTACCACCCTTTCAATGTTCTGGAAAGCACCTCTCCATGAGACTCGAATCTCTTCTCAAGTATGGCAAGCAACACGTTGAAGCTTCTTTTTCCTACCATAATGTATCTGATAGCCACCTATTTTTTTTGCTTTCTGAAATATTAGCATATTTTCTTGAATTGACAGGCACCATTTCCTGAAAAAAAATGGGTTAAAATGCATCTTCTTATTATAATGAATAGTGAAACTTTAAAGGTATCTGCAGTGCAGTTGAAGCCTCTCTTGTGCACATATAAAATGGTGGTTCTTTTTCTTGCATGTGAATGCACTGCAAAATCTTCCTAAGATATGTTAAATTGTTAGGGAGCCGAGCATATTTCCAGCCCTCTGAGGATGATACCAGGCCAGTGAGTGAGTGTTTTTCTTTGAATCTAATGCTGCTTTTGTGTATCTAGTTTACGCATAATAATAATAATAATAATAATAATAATAATAATAATAATAACTGAAAAAGCTGACACGATATGAGGATTTAAAGATCAAACTGCACTTGACTGGCACAAGTCAGTCAAGGTGGTCCCAGTGGTGATCGGCACACTGGGTGCAGTGCCTAAAGAACTTGGCCTGCACTTAAGCATAATTGGCGCTGACAAAATTACCATCTGCCAGCTGCAGAAGGGATCTGCATGCATTATTTGCCGATACATCACACAGTCCTCGACACTTGGGAAGTGTCCGACGTGTGATCCAATACAACAGCCGTGAACTCATTTTGTGTTAATAATAATAATAATAATAATAATAATAATAATAATAATACACTTTATTTATACCCCACCACCATCTCCCCCAAAGGGGACTCGGAGCGGCTTACATGAGGCCAAGCCCTATGATACATTATAATAATAATAATAATAATAATAATAATAATAATAATAATAATAATAATACACTTTATTTATACCCCGCCACCATCTCCCCCAAAGGGGACTCGGAGCAGCTTACATGAGGCCAAGCCCTATGATACATTATAGCAAAATAAAATACAGATCGACAAGAAATAAATAACATCACAATGGAATTCAAAACATTCAAGTAAATAAGCAGTGCAAAATAACATAACAAAAAAATCAAACACAGTGGGCGGGCCAAATACATGACATAAATGATAAAACTCTGGATGAGATAGCCTTTGGACCGACTGCAGTTCCATTCCCGACTGTTTGAGCAGCTTCTAAAGCCCCCCAGGTTTTTCAATTGAGTACAGAGAATGGGAAAATGTAGTTGCCATTATATATGCCTTGCTCCTCCTATCCCTGGATGCACTGGAGAATGGTACAGGGTACTCCTGTTTTGTCCAGCCTGTAGAAAACCATTCTGCAAAACTGGCCTCCCTTACATAGGTTGGAAGTGCTTTGGAAACTCTCTATCCTGCTGTTTTCAAACTCAGTGAAGTAGAGTTGTGTAAACAAAGAAAAATAAATGTCAAAGAGAGAAGAAAGACAGAGCTGGTGGAGGGCAACCAGTGAATGAGATGAGGATGCAGAGATGTGGAATGGTTTCTAACAAAGCCGCAAGCTTTCAACTCTGGTATGGAACTTTTAAATGGATACCTCTATAAAACAAGTTTCCCACTGTATAAAATGTAAATCTGTTTTCCGTATGCGCTGTGTGAAATGCAGTCCAGTCACAAAATATTAGCTTAATTTTTATTTCCTTTGGAGCATCCATATTTAGCATTGTCACTATTGAAAATAATCTTCTTCTCAGGATCAGTCTATGAAGATTGAGATTCAGCTACTCAGAACCAAACTGGCAGAGCAAGAAAGTCACTTGCAAAGTACCAGAGATGTCAAGGAGAGCATGGAGAACTTCCTCCTCACTCACTGTAAGTGACTTTGTGAGATGGATGGTGCAATGGTGACCTGTTGGGGTTGGCATCAGGCCATTCTAAAGCAAGGACCTTGGGTCGGGAACATCTGTTAGGTCTCCCTTGTCAACCTTTTATCTTTATGTCTGAACCAATCGGAACTCTAGAACCAAGTTGAGTCATGCTTTGGAAAGCAAGGAAGAGGGGTACTGAGGTGGCATGTTGGTATTTACCATGAAAGTCCAGTCTTATATGTGGAAGAAAGAGACATCATGTACAGGGTTGTGTCCCGCACATGATAGGAAGTAAGCGAGGTAATATCCAAACCTCAGATCCACCCTAGTTTGAAGTCGGATTAGGGGAGGTAGAGAGAGATGAGACCCAGAAAAGAAAGAAAAGCATACCTGGTGCAAGAAGAGAATGCATGTTAAATGCACAAATGGGAAGTAACTGTATGCCATACTGTGCCTAAAGTCCTAAAAGTCACACATAAGCTAACTAACAGTGAGTATAGACAGGCTAAAGTACGAGAGTTGAATGAAAAGTAATGCCTCCACCTTCGTAACTCAACAGATGGCAGTACTGGTATGCGGCAGGTACTGGCTTGTTCAGTAGACTCTCCTCTAGAGTTCCATTTTGGCAGTAAGCCTTAGCATTGCACGGTTGTGCTGCTAAAGTGCAAAGTATGGAACTCTGCACAGACAGTCAATGCGACTTAAGCAATGTGCAGTCATTGAATTCTTGACAGCAGATGTCACCCTAAAGGAGATTCATCAGATAATGCAAGCTGTTTATGGTGATTGTGTTGATGTGAGTACTGTGCATCATTGGGTGAGTAAGTTTAAAGATATTGAGGTGGGAACATCTGACTTGCGTGACAAAGAGTTGGACATCCTGTGACAGCAACCACTGAGTTTCACAAGCAAAAGGTTGACAGATTGATTCAGGACAATCGTCGTATCACTCAGAGAAATTTCAAGTATAATCAGTATTTCACAAGAATGTGTGGGTCACATTATTGATTTGCTTGGCTATTGGAAGATCTGTACACAATGGGTATCCAAGATAAGAGAACTGTGAGATGCTGGTTGTGGAAACAGAGTGTTGAATTCTTCCGTGACAGCTTCAGAAAACTTGTTCATCATTGGCAGAAATGTATCCAATTGTCTGGTGGTTATGTGGAAAAGTGAATATTGGTAATTAAAAAGCACATTCTAAGGATTATTTCTGTGTTTGATTTATTAAAATATTTCCATCCAAACCCAAGTAACGAAGGTGGAGGCATAACATTTCATTCAACCCTCGTAATTCTGCAAGCACACATTCAGAAAGGGAAATCTCATAGTAGATCTGCCAAGGAAAGGAAAGGAGATGAAAGTGAAGGTGGAGTGAGACGATTCGTGTTAAAGCTAATTTTTTTCCATTACAGTGACAAGAACATATGATGTATTAAGGAAAGCAAGGACTAATCTGGAGGTATGTTGAACTGCACTTTACCCTCTATTGATTCAGGTGACCCAGCAACAGAAAACTGTGGGGAAAGGCCATGTCATGAAAGAGGTATTGGTGCCAAATTCTATTGGTGAATGAGGACCATGAAACTCTGCCTACACTAATCTCTTTTATTAGGCAAGGCTATCAACACTTTTCAAACCTGCAGCTGATAAAGCTGACACTGCATCTGAATTACATAAAATGAAACTACCATATTTACTGAAATATAATGTGCCATTGAATATAATGTGCACCTCAATCTTGAGGATACACATTTAAAAAAAGGATTTGTTGCTGGATATAATGTGAGGCAGCAGTTGTTGTGAAAAGGCTGGTGGGAAGCTGGTGGAAAGGTGCAATTTCCCACCAACATTTTTGAAGCCACCTCTGGTTTCCCACCAGCCTTTTTGCAGCCACCACTGCCTTTCCCTCCTCCATCGCTAGCTGGGATCTCTTGTCCAACAGCACGTGGGTTTACATGTGCAGTTCTAATGCCCCATTGAATCTTATACACACCTCAATTTTGGTGATGAAACTTAGCCAAAAAAAGGTGAACATTGTTGTTGTTCATTCGTTCAGTCGTCTCCGACTCTTCGTGACCTCATGGACCAGCCCACGCCAGAGCTCCCTGTCGGCCGTCACCACCCCCAGCTCCTTCAAGGTCAGTCCAGTCACTTCAAGGATGCCATCCATCCATCTTGCCCTTGGTCGGCCTCTCTTCCTTTTGCCTTCCACTTTCCCCAGCATGATTGTCTTCTCTAGGCTTTGCTGTCTCCTCATGATGTGGCCAAAGTACTTCATCTTGACCTCTAGTATCCTTCCCTCCAATGAGCAGTCGGGCTTTATTTCCTGGAGGATGGACTGGTTGGATCTTCTTGCAGTCCAAGGCACTCTCAGAACTTTCCTCCAACACCACAGTTCAAAAGCATCTCTTCCTTCGCTCAGCCTTCCCTAAGGTCCAGCTCTCACATCCTTAGGTGAATACCATGCTTTGACTATGCGGATCTTTGTTGCCAGTCTGATGTCTCTACTCTTTACTATTTTATCGAGAATGGACATTGCTCTCCTCCCAAGAAGTAAGCGTCTTCTGATTTCCTGGCCACAGTCTGCATCTGCAGTAATCTTTGACCCCTAGAAATACAAAGTCTGTCACGGCCTCCACATTTTCTCCCTCTATTTCCAGTTGTCAATCATTCTTGTTGCCATAATCTTGGTTTTTTTTATGTTTAGCTGCAACCAGCTTTTGCGCTTTCTTCTTTCACCTTGATTAGAAGGCTCCTCAGCTCCTCCTCGCTTTCGGCCATCAGAGTGGTGTCATCTGCATATCTGAGGTTGTTAATGTTTCTTCCAGCAATTTTCACCCCAGCTTTGCATTCATCAAGCCCCGCATTCATCAAGCCCCGCACATCGCATGATGTGTTCTGCATAAAAGGTTAAAAAGGTTGGGTGAGAGTATGCAGCCTTGCCGTACGCCTTTCCCAATCTTGAACCAGTCTGTTGTTCCATGGTCAGTTCTGACTGTTGCTACTTGGTCCTTGTACAGATTCCTCAGGAGAGAGACAAGGTGGCTTGGGATGCCCATCCCACCAAGAACTTGCCACAATTTATTATGATCCACACAGTCAAAGGCTTTAGAATAGTTAATGAAGCAGAAATAGATGTTTTTCTGAAACTCCCTGCCTTTCTCCATTATCCAGCGGATATTGGCAATCTGGTCTCTCGTTCCTCTGCCTTTTCTAAACCCAGCTTGAACATCTGGCAACTCTCGCTCCATGTATTGCTGGAGTCTTCCTTGCAGGATCTTGAGCATTACTTTACTGGCATGAGAAATAAGGGCCACTGTACAGAAGTTTGAGCAGTCTTTCGCATTTCCCTTTTTTGGTATGGGGGTGAACATTAGACTCAAGTAAATATAGTATTATTGCTGAAGTCGTCATGACCGAGAATGAGCATTTCTTCCCATAAAGCAAGAAATGCTGTTCACAATTCTTTTGGCCAACAATGATTTTATGACTAAGAACATGTCATGTGGGCTATAACTACAGGACTTGGGATGGGGCCTATTTGCTTTGAGAGGGAGCAACAGCCTTGTGTTGACTGCTCTTAGGCTGCTCCTCCCCACCTTTCTGCTAGTGAGAAGAGGTCGTTGACCTTGCTGTTTACTTAAGCTACTATTTGTGTCATAAATCGTTACTCACTGCAGCGTACTTTTACTGGCTGTGAGTGCCCTCAGTCTCTGGCTTGCTTCAAGCGCAACTTGCAGCCATTCAGATACTATCCAGTTCTGGAAACTGATTTTGGCATGGGAGAAAATTCTGGCTTTCTGTTCATACTTCCCTCTTCTGCTTTACAATCTGAATAAGTAGTTTACTAATACTGCTCCACCCAGAGTCCATCTCCTCTAGCTGCTGCTGCAATGGATTTGTATAAAAACCTCCTTTTTTCTCCAACAATAGCTCACTCATGAGTAAATACATCTCAGCAAAGTTTCAAACATTTCTTCCTTGGACAAAGGGATTTTTTTTCAACCTTTGAGAATGATCAGCTTTGCTTGCATTGTTCGTCTTAGATTTTGCTGTGCCTTTTGTTTTCTTTCCAGCTTGCAATGTGGATAAGCATACTAAATAAGTGTGCTTAGTCTGGTTTTTAATAAAAGAAGAAGAAAAAACAAAGAACTTAGGTTAGGGACAGTATTGAACTTATTCTGAATTACTGCAATCTTGTTTGTGGGGTTGCAGTCAGGTAGAGCAGAGAAGTGTGATTTTCAGGAGGGTATTTTGTGCTGTTCCTATGTATATACACTCATAAACAGAAACAATATGGGTTGCTGTAAGTTTTTCGGGCTGTATCACCATATTCCAGAAGCATTCTCTCCTGACGGTTCACCTGCATCTATGGCAGGCATCCTCAGAGAAACAATATAGGTTGCTGTGAATTTTCCAAGCTGTATGGCCATGATACCAGTCATGAAAGCCCTTGACAACACATAGAAACAATATGCCTCTGTTTACGACAACATAGAAATTGTTATCTTGGAAGCTGAAATCTCATTATATTGCCTTTAACAATATTTGAGTTACTATTTCTGATGTCATGTACTTATGAAGAATCTCCTGGTATATAGTAATTGTTCTTTTGGAAGCTTAAGTTTCATTGTGTTGACAAAATATTGATAAACAATCTTTCATTTATAGCCTGTTACTAATTAATCGTGTAAATGTTCCCACGTTACATTGAATGAAGAATTTCCTGTAATATATAAATTGTTAGTACTTGTCAACCAACCCCATCCCTGTGCAGTCATTCACTACTGGACTGCAATTCCTCACCAAACTCAACAGATAGATATTAGATGCTGCATTCATATTATAAGGTGATGAAGTCAGATTTTAGAATTTAAAATTTAGATAACTGATGGGTTTTGCTTATTCCTTTCGCATTAGCAGCCTCTCATGAACAGTGGCTTTTGAACACCGTCTATGTTAGGAAATGGGCATGGTAACTGGAGGGAGAAGAGCATCAGTTCTAATATTTCTGTTGTCTGCATTGTCACTTTAGGGAATTTCCCAACAACCTACACCTATTTCTGCCATCATGTGACCATATTCCGGCCTGAGGTATGAAGGAAATGGAGCCATGCCCAGGAAAAAAAGATGAAGAAGAAAAGAAACTCCACCTGATTGCTTACTGCTACCAAAGTGAGGCCTCAGAAGCAGCCTGGCAAGTTTTAGAGTTCAGAAGTTATCTGGGAAGCCTCCAATTCCTGCTGCTTTAGGGTGAAACCCCCATGGCATCTGGGGTATGCTTCTATAACAAATCTCCTGCTAGAGATTCATCTGGAACTTGTTTGGAATTGCTTCAGGCATCAGTGCAATATTAGAAAAGGGAAAGGGTACTCCTGTGCACACTACGCTCAGAAAGAGGGGTATTCCTAAAAATAGCATGGATTCCAAAGCTGCCCTCGTGTGCCTCAGTGAGACTGGATGTTTGTGTGCAGCTTAGATAGTTCTAGCATTCTCCTGCACCAATTTATTTATTATGCTGCTCTAATTATCAATCAGGGTGTGTCATATATTTTTGCGGCTATATTTACTTTGCCCCACTGATGTGTGGCCTTGACATATACTTATCATAAGTGTGATCACTGGATTATTAAGAAGGGAAGAAAGAAGAGCAAAGCTCTCTTAGCCCCAGTTTCAACATACTTCGACTACTCCTTTTCTGAAGTTCCCTCTAAGCTAGGTATCTCCCTCCATACCTACTCCTTTCAGAAGATTTTATCAGAGCTGTCCTCGCTCACTTCAGGGTTTGTTTAGGGTGAACATCAAAAGTTTTTAATATACGCGACAATGCAGTTACAAGCCTTTTATACTTCTGTATGTTATAAATAGGCGAGTGGCTGAAAAATGGGGTGCAGGGAAAAGACTCTGCTTAGATTTGTGGAACTCAGTAATTTTTCCATTTCGTGATCTGAATTCCCAATAAAGTTTTTTTAAAAAAAAAACTGGCTTGATGATTATTCACAAAGTACATCAATGTTTTTTGTCGCCTATCAGATAAGTCTATAGAAGTTCTCTGGATTCAAAAATCTTAAGTGAACAAGTGGTGGTTATTATATTTATTCATATTCTGCTTTTCTCTCTGTGACTGAGACACAAAGCAGCCCAAAACAATTAAAAAATACACTTTAAAATCTCCGGCATATAAATATTAAAATAGAATTAAACATGCACATTGGTTAAAATCACTTAACACCTTCCACAGTTAAAATACCAGTACATAAAATATTACACAACACTCTCCTTGGTTGCTGTTAAACACTTTATTCTGTCAAAACCTGCCTGAATGAAAAGGACTTAGCCTGGCGCTAGAAGGGCAGCAGGAAGGGGACCATTCTGGCATCTTTAGGTAGAGCTCCAGAGCCTAGGGGCAGCCACCAAGAAGGCCCTCTCCTGCATCCGCACCAACTGAGCTTGTGGTTGCAGCACATTTCAAGATACTTTTAGATAGTGGTGGTGGGGTATCTAGTTCTACTTTAATGACAGCGAGTGAGATAAGCCTGTCAATTCTCATGGACAAGTTTTAATCAAGTTGTGATACCATCAGTTTATTCAGATGGCCTCTCTTGATAATTTCGGGTAATAGTTTACAGCAATTCTGCTTCTATCTCAATGTGGCTTAGAGGTTACTATTTGGGCCAGTAATTGTTATGCTATAGGCTCCATCTGATCTTCTATTAAATGCCTAGTAACCTCAAAGTTGTACTACTTCAATTGACTGGTTTGAGGTGTAGAAGATAAAGTGTAAATTCATCATTAGTACATCTTAAGCATTTGGGAACAGGCATACACATCCCTCCCCCCAGCATTATTTACTTAGTGAAATTATACCCTACTTTACAGCCACAAAGACACTCAGAACAACTTAGAAAAGGTTAATTTGCCCCCAGGCTTACAATCTACAAAAGATAAATAAAATGTAATACATAAGACACGATGTATCTGCGTTTGGCTGGTTTCCTCCCACCTAATGGTCGGTATCTGTGTATCTGTGCCTCTTAGCCTCTTTGATGCTGTTTAGATTTTATTGTGTTATTTTAATCATTTTTTGTTAACCCCATAAGTTATGTTTTGCTTCAAAATATTGCTCCAGATAACTAGTTACCCATAGTATGAGTGCAGGCTACTATCCACTTTTACCCAGATGTCATTCTGCCCCCACCTTCAATATTTTTGCAGCATCAAGCAGTGGCAAGATCTCTTGGTTTATTGATGTCCCAGCATCATGCTGTACAGTGACATGTTTGGATACAACAAAACAGGTGTTATTCAATACAACAGACACAACTGTTTCTCTTGTCAAGGTATTTGTCACACCATTAGATGCAGTAATAGTCCAGGGAACAGATTCCAGTCAAATATACCAAGGCAGCTTTGCAGATCCGTTCAAAGTGCTATCCCCCCCTCCCCCAAACACACAAAATACACATCCAAGTTGCTGTATACTTTTTTCTTTCCAATGCCCACTCAAACACTGCAGCAACCTAACAGAACCCTTTGCTACACATGGCTACACAGCAACTGTGATCTTGCCAATTTCCCCTTCCTCAAGATGCAACTAGAACTGCTTTCATTGTTCAAACTAACATAAATCCACTATTACTCATGCAGAATTAAGTTAGTTTTTCATTTAATAAACATGACATAATAAACTTAACATACCTTTTAGTAGTCATTTTTTGTTGAGAAAAACGTTTGTTACTTTCTTTTCACACACACACAAAATTGAAAATAGGTGCGGTAACATTAGTTCTGGGGAAAGTTCTCCAAATTGCATATGCTTAAACCTGTTATTGGGACCAGAATGGGAACAGGGAAATCAACTCCTTCCTCAGCAGGAAAAATTCTTCAACAACGATCACCAATTGGTGACAAGCAAAAATACTATTCAAAGAATAGTTGTTAAAGATTTTTTTAAAGCTATCAATTCCCCGGTTCTGCCACATCTTTGTGTCTAACAGTAATAATGCTTTCTGTTAGTAGCTATATGCAAGAAAGGACTTGGGGAAAATGAAGCTTCATCCCCCAATCCATGAACAAACTAATGAGGTCTTTAGCATCAGATGAGAGAGCAAGAGCAGACCTTTCTACTACAGTAGGACCCAGATGGGAGCAAGTAGCAAGTCTGTCAAACCAGCTGGAATGACACAATTATTAGTCATCAGCTTTCTCTTCTCAATAAACGGATGCCAAATAGTTATGACTACATGAGGCTGATATCTGAGGCTAGGCAGAAAGAGCTTGCCCCTCTGATAGCCATAAAACTGGAAAACTCAACAGTGGTTTTCAACCTGTGGGTCCTCAGATGTTTTTGCCTTCAACTCCCAGAAATCCCAACAGCTGGCAAAATGGCTGAGATTTCTGGGAGGTGTAGGTCAAAACATCTGGAGACCCACAGGTTGAGAGCCACTGCTCTACAAGGAGCAAAGGAACCAACATTCCCTATTGCCCCACATATGCAGAAACCACACGAGTACTTTCCTCTTGGACAGGAGAGGTGTTTTTCTGTCCTACGCTCTGGCCTTTCTTTAACTTAGTGGTTCTCAAGCTTCCTAATGCCACAATCCCTTAATGCAGTCCCTCTTGTTGTGGTGACCCCCAAACATAAAATTATTTTTGTTGCTACTTCATAACACTAATTTTGCTACTGTTACGAATCGAAATGTAAATATCTGATATGCAGGATGTATTTTCATTCACTGGACCCAATTTGGCACAAATACCCAATATGCCCAAATTTGAATACTGGTGGGGTTGGAGGGAGGATTTTGCCACTGGGAGTTGTAGTTGCTGGGATTTATAGTTCACCTACAATCAAAGAGAATTCCGAACCCCACCAAAGATAGCATTGAGCCAAACTTCCCACACAGAACCCCCATGATCAACAGACAATACTCTATTTTCTGGTGTCTTTGACGACCCCTCTGACACCCTCCCCCCATGACCCCCAGGTTGAGAAACGCTGCTTTAGCTCTTTATAGCAGGAGTCCTCTAACTAAGGCCCGAGGGCCGAATATGGCCCTCCAAGGTCATTTACCTGGCCCTTGCTCAGGGTCAACATAAGTCTGAAATGACTTGAAAGCACACAACAACAACAACAACAACAACAACAATTCTATCTCATCAGCCAAAAGCAGGCCCACACTTCCCATTGAAATACTAATAAGTTTATATTTGTTACAGTTGTTCTTCATTTTAATTATTGTATTGTTTTAAATGTTTTTTGCACTACAAATAAGATATGTGAAGTGTGCACCAGAATTCATTCATGCTTTTTTCAAATCATGATCCGGCCCTCCGACAGTTTGAGGGACTGTTACCTGAAAAGTTTGAGGACCCCTGCTTTATAGCATCAATCTCATTTTATCTTGCCACAGCTCATTCTATGTTTCTCCTCTTGAACCTATATTGTCAGCTCACTGAACTTACAAGCAGAGTACTAGTGACCACTGGCTTAGACTTGGTTTATTACATGGTCCATTCGTAGGGCACAAAATTCTTTTTAAAGCATCCAGTGACCACCTTATTTCCAGAGGCATCTCTACCATTCTGAAGTCTAGCGCAAGATTTCTAGATAGTAACTGACATGTTAAAGCTACAGTTCTCAAAACATCCTGGTTGTCAGATAACTTTCAGGTAGCTTGAAGGTATTCAATACATCTAAGTAAGTTTCCTTTTAAACATACATTTATTCAAGGCGTCTCTGTATTTTAAATGCCTCAGATTTTAACACTGATATAACAGGATACTCTATCTACAAGCCGCGACAACTATTATGTTGGCCCTTACACAATGCCTAGAGCAGTAGTTCCCAACCTGTGGGTCCCTAGGTGTATTGTACTACAACTCCCAGAAACCCCAGCCAGTTTACCAGCTGTTGGGATTTCTGGGAGTTGAAGGCCAAAACATCTGGGGACCCACTGACCTAGATTTCAGTGAGTAAGGGCAAACTGCAAAGTGGTACCTCACCCCAGGTAGCTCAGAGGACTAAAATTAAGCAGGAAAAGGTGTCACTAGCACAAGCAAAGGTGTCTTCATGCCAGTAAAGGAAGTGGGCAAATGGATGAGATACAGTCAGCTTAGTCATTTATCACAGTTTCTTCTCCATTAACGGAAAACAAACCTCTCTGCCCTTGTAAGACTGTTTTGCAGCTGAAGGGATCAGTTTGAGTGGGACAAAATTCAGCAGCTCCAGCCAATGCAAAAACATGCAATCAACTCGTTCAAAACCCCAAACTTAAGAAGGGCTGCTTGGGATTTCAAATGATTACACACCAAGGAATACAATGTGATTCTGTAAGATGGCAACACTCTATTTTCACCAACTCAGAACCTGATAAAAAAAAAACTCTGTTCAAGAAAAAATCAGCAACTACTACATGCAACAGCTCATAGGCGAATTTCCTCTCCCAACTCAGGCATCTTATCTCAAAACAAGACTTCTTCATTTGACAAGGCTAGAAAGAAAAGAGGCAGGGACAGAAGGGAGGAAAAACACTGAAGAACCCCTATAGTCCCAGGCCAAAAGAGCAGAGATCAAGGTTTCCCATTTAAGGTTCTACAAGTCCTGGAAATATGGATCTCGCTTCTTCCTGTAGGATTCAAGTACTGAATGATATATTTAACACTTCTCATAGGCATTGAATGTTTGCCAATTTGTTACTTTCGTTGGAAACTGCCCTGAGTCCCATCGGGGAGAGAGGGCAGGTTATAAATAAAGTATCATTGAAATGAAAGAGGGCGATCCTTAATCTTGAGTGGAGCCACAGAGTTTATAAGAATAAACTCTGGAAGTAAAAATCCTGGAAAAGGAGGAGAACACAGCATTTCTCCTTAAACAATTCCTTCCATGAATACAGCTACTAAAGTCCATAGCAGCTGTACATATAAACTTTAAGGTGAGAGACAGTGCTGTTCAATGACCGAAATAAATGATTTGATTTGATTATCATGCTCTTCCTCCATTTCCCAGAGGCTTTTGGCTGAAATAGACTGACTTTTGGTCTGTATCAGCACGCAAGATACACATTCCCAGAGTCAGCATTTTCAGCACTTTGCACTCCTGTTACTTCCTTCTGGGCAAGTTGGTCTGTATATGCTTGCAGATTATAATTTATGTCCTAAGGAGATGGAAACATTCCTCACATCAACAAAAAAGTATGATCTTCACACATAATCCCAATAGCACTATTGCTACTTCTGATTGCTGCACTTCCAATTTGCAGAATTAATGTCCATACAACCACACAGCAGGCACATATAGCATACAGTGAAACACTGCTTCGCACTGACATTGTCCTGATTGCACTTGCCATGGGCTTGTAGTAGTAGGTACTATAAGATAAGAGCAGCCCTTTTTAGGAGTCTGTCTTGTCCTGAATACTGCATCCCATTGTAGTCAGAACAGTGCGTGAAGCCAATGTTCCACAGCAATTATTTAGTGTCATATAACCTCTTAGCTAGGAGATGCTACATTGCTATCACAGCTAGTAGTTACTCTCACAACATGACCTTCAACAAAGGTCCCTCTGCTCAACCCCCTGGAATTACAAAGTAATTATAATTTAACTATTGGAAGCAGATGGGTCTTCACAACAGACTCCGTCATTTCTTCTTTGACAGTAAACTACTCCTAGCAACCTCTTTCTGGCCAGAGGGGGGATTACAAGTGGGTACCCAAGAGCAACCTACAATGAGAGAAACCAAAAACTCCTCTTTCCTTAATATTATCCAGGAAAAGCTGTTTTTCCAATCAGCACTGGACAGGAAGCAATGCACCTAAACTGTTGGAACTATCAATTGTGTGCTATGGACAGGTGCAAGTTGCATAGCAGAAATAGTCACCAAGAAAAAATGTTCTCAATCAGTCCTAAAAACCGAGATAGGGCTGGTGTCATATAGAGCTTTTGCCCCTGACAAAGGAGTTGGAGGCTAGTTTCCTGTTTGAAATGTGTGAGGAAAAAGCAGCAGTCTCTGTGTCCCCACAGTGATCAGGAAAAACCCAACTCAAATGGGCTTGTAGAGCAGGGTAGTCACATATTTCTTCTTGTAGCGATGTGTGGCACTTAGTACCATAACACCATCCTGGGGAAAGAAATAGAAACATTAGTGCAATTGCAGAAGAGGAGAATTCCTGTTTTGTAAAGGAGTGTTCTCAGAAGATGCTATCAGTAAAGAGAGAGATTAAACCAGTGGTCCTCAACCTGTAAGTCCCCAGATGTTTTGGTATCTGTAAAGATTTCACCAATTTGTAAAGAAGCCACCAGTTTGTAACAGTTTTGTAAAAATTTATTAAATTGATAGCGTAGCTAATAGCTAGCAATATTGATTTGGTCTTTCTTCAACGTGTAGCGTGACTTAACTTGGAAAGATTTGTAACAGAGACCGGGCTTTATAAAAAACTGTAACAAGTTTATTGAAATGTAGCTTGATGGTTTCAATGTTTCTTGACTCTTAGAGGCACATATCTTCAGAGGTTACATTTATAACATTCCTTAAAACAACTATGGAAAGGACTCTTCTACTAAACAGGTTTCAAACTATTTTTCTTCAAACTGTGTTTCTTTCCTTAATAGATTACTTCGGATACAAGCTTATTCTTCCTTTGTGATACTTCTGTTGTATTAAAGATTTTCACTGGGTCTCTCACCCCTTCTACTCATACACTAACTACTAATATAAATAAGTCAACTCGACTTATCTAAACTACCTAGGCTAAAAGCCAAAACCTTATTCTCACTACAGTAGAATCAGCCTTCCCCTGTAGTTTTTAAACTACAGATTACCTTCCTGGTTCTCACTACAGTAGAACCAGTCTCTTCTGCAGTTCACAGACTGACCGTTTTTAAAATGGCAGCCCTGCCAAGTGGCAGTTGGCTCCGTCCCTTTTCCATAGCAACCCAGCTCAAAGTGAGCTGAGCTGGCTACCCCCCCCCCCCCCCCCCGTTATGCAACTTTAAATACTTACCCCGTCAAATGCCTATCTATAACTATACATAATAGTAGATTAAAACTCTCATTTCATCACAGTATCCAACTCCCAGAAACCCTAACAGCTGGTATACTGCCTGGGATTTCTGGGAGTTGTAGGCCAAAGCACCTGGGGACCCACAGGTTGAAAAACACTGGGTTAAACAGATTCAGCCTCCTTCTTTCCCTCCATCCTAAAATTTTCCAGGATAACTTACAAAGATACTGATAGATTCTACTTGGAAACAGAGGACGAAAGTAAGACAGAGAAAGACAGACATGCTACTGCCTTGGGTCCATGCTACAAAGGTGAAGAATGGCCCACAATAAAAAGTTCATTAAAGAAATCAGGAGCCAAGAGTATCTTCCCTATTCACCTGCTATCCTGAAATGCTACCTCTTCTGCACCTCCCTCCTACGCGAGATTTTCTCAAGACATAGAAAACAAAGCCTAGAATTAGCAAGTTGGTAGATAGTATGGCAAGAACAGGAGAGAAGGAGAAAGGGAGATCAGTTAGCTTCTAGTTTCAAAGAAGAGTAAGATAGAGGGGTCATTCTTCATCCTGCAAGTAAACAGAGGCTACTAAGCCTTACCTTAATGGAGAGTGCATACAGGTGGTTCAGCATCACATGATTTGGCTCAGGCAAGAGGGCTGGGTCACACTACAGGAAACATAAGAAACATCACTTTTCATCTATTAGGCTATTTCCATTTTTCTCACTGAATGCCTGCACACAAGCCTGATGGGGAAGACTACCGTATATACTTGAGGATAAGCCGATCTGAATATAAGCCGAGGCACCTAATTTTACCACAAAAAAAAAAACGGGAAAACTTATTGACTTGAATATAAGCCAAGGGTGGGAAATGCAACTGCTACTGGTAGATTTCAAAATAAAAATAGATACCAAGAAAATTACATTAACTGAGGCATCAGTAGGTTAAATGTTTTAGAATATTTACCGTATTTCAAAGAAAAACAGTAAACTAGCTCTGTAAATGGAAAAGTAGGCTCAACAAAAACAACATGGTATCAACAATAATTTTATAATGATCACAACAACACCTTCATTTGTATCCTGCTTTATCGCCCCATGGGGACTCAGGCTGGCTTCCAATGCAGTAACAGGCAAACATTAAATGCCTATATAAACAATGCAGCGCTGGATATATATCTATAATTATATACACTAATTTCACATATGCATTTCCCCTGAAACGTTTGCAAATCCTCTCTCTCTCTATGTGTGTGTATCTTCCCTGCAATATTTGAAAGCCCCGTGTATCTATGTTTATATCTTTCTAGGCATGTCCATATATATTTGTGTGGGCATTTTCCCCTGTAATATTTGCAAGCCCTATATAACTATATTTAAAGCTATCTATCTAGGTATCTATATATTGATAATTATATCTATACAGGATTTCCAAAGACTTGCAAACATGTGAGGGGAAAATTCATATATAAAATTATATATATATATATACACACACACACAGACACACACACACACGTGCACACACACATACAAATACCTCTATATATTTATCGACATCTATATAGGTTTTGCAGAGACTTGCAAATATGTGAGGTAAAATTCATATGTAAAAATAATGTATACATATAGATACAGATATACAGGTACATAGAAATCTCTAGATATCTATATGTATATAGGATATTCAAAGACCTGCAAACATATGGGGGGGGGAATTCATATATAAAATTAATGTATATAGATAGACAGACATATAGAGATATATAGGTACATAGGAATTGCAAAGGCTTGCAGGGGGAAGGGAACAAAAATGCGCATGTAAAGTTAAGACATTTATATACACAAAAAAGCCAGGAAATTGGCTGGGTTTGAAAGAGAGCCATACAAACAAAAAAGACATGAAATATATCTCTTTTCCCTCCCTCCCTTTTGACTGGAAAAGAAAACACACTGTTGAGGAAGAGCGCTTTGAAACACTATGTGGACTGATACTCACTGAAATGTTAGTATCTTTATTAAGGATGACCTGGAGGAGATGAGGAGGAAGAATCGGTGGGGATTTGAAACGTTCCTCAGGCCTATAAACGTACATTTCTTGGCTGTATGTTCCAGGAGGAGAGCCTGAAAGGTCTATTAAAAATTGAGAAAGTATAAGAAAGGAAGCCACAGAACACCAGCATTTTGAATGTTTACACTAAAGTAATGTAACGTAAAGTCACCTCGACAAGAAGTCTCTGAACTTTCCAGGGAGTCCACCTTTAAAGCATCAAACACTTCAAAGTCAGACTTCTTGACATGAATCAGATTGTTAATTGTCCCCAGCTGACTAGTCACCACTGGCTGAAAAAGAAGACATCAAAAACATGATGCATCTGCATGACATGCCTCCATTTCCTGAAATACATGCAATACACTGCAATGACATTGTCCTCCTGAAGCAAGACAAAGGTGAACAATGGTGATCCTATCCTGACTTCATACGGTTGAATACTATGTATATGCTGATTGACCCTTCTACCTTGATTCTGCTCACAGCTTAGTTTCAGGTTTGTTCGTTTTTTACGACTATCCTACATGAATGCCAGCTAAGTAAAGGTATAGGTTTCTCCTGACATTCAGTCTAGTTGTGTCCAACTCTGTGGGGTGTGCTCATCTCCATTTCTAAGATGAAGAGTTAGTGATGTCCGTAGACAACTCCAAGGTCATGTGGCCAGCATGACTGCATGAACTGTCGTTACCTTCCCACAGAAGCGGTACCTATTGATCTACTCACATTTGCATGTTTTCGAACTACTAGGTTGGCAGAAGCTAGGCCTAACAGCGGGAGCTCACTCCTTTCACCGGATTCAAACTTCTAACCTTTCAGTCAGCAAGTTCAGCAGCTCAGTGGTTTAACCCGCTGCACCACCAGGGGCCCCTGAATGCCTGCTACCCAGCCTTAAACTTATTTATTTCGGTCGTACACTCACTATGTGGGCTAATCTTCATTCTCTACTTAAGTTCAACATCTGTAACATGATAATTAATTGGCACCAATTGGCATCATAAAGGTTCCTGGAGTAACACTAGTAAAATCTAAATATTCAAAATGTAGCAAGTAGGCATGTTATCATACCCCAAATGTTCAGCTGATCACCCTCAATTTTACTGAAGGAAAACTGCTTGGTACTAAGAACTATAAGAAATGCAAGACTCAAATTACAATCTCCAACATAAAAATGCTACATCTCATTCAATAACAAACTCCAATGGTGTATTTTTTAAAAAGGGTAATTGTAAATCACAAAGGAATATATGAACTATGGGTGGAAATCAGAATCCGAATTTAGTAAAAAAAACAACAACATAAAATTGGCAATTAGTATATGGTCAAAGGAAATTATTATGCTAGTGACTCAGGAATTTTAGTCTTGGCTACTTCCAAAGGTTCCTACCTATTGCTCCTATAACAATTATGAAATTCTGGTTCAAAAGAAATGCAATAGTGACGCAAAATAATGTGTTGTCGAAGGCTTTCATTGCCGGAATCACACGGTTGCTGTGAGTTTTTCAGGCTGTCTAGCCATGTTCCAGAAGCATTGTCACCTGACGTTTTGCCCACATCTATGGCAAGCATCATCAGAGGTTGCGAGGCCTGTTGGCAAATGAGGTTTATATATCTGTGTAATGTCCAGGGTGGAAGAAAGAACTCTTGTCTACTTGAGGCAAGTGTGAATGTTGCTAACACCTCCCAACAAAGAATCCCCCTGAAGTAGCAACCAGCCAAACTTTGAAGCTACAAGGTCATTAAATGCTAATCAAGGTGGCCAATTGCAGCATTCACACTTGTTTCAAGCAGACAAGAGTTCTTTCTCCCACCCTGGACATTCCACAGATATATAAACCTCACTTGCCTAGTTTCCAACAAACCTCACACCTCTAAGGATGCCTGCCATAGATGCAGGTGAAACGTCAAGAGAGAATGCTTCTGGAACATGGCCATACAGCCTGGAAAACTAAGAGCAACCCAGGCAAAATAAGCTTAGTAAAAAGTGCTGAAGGGTAGAAGGGAAAGTAAAGAAAAAGGCATATGGAGGAAAATAATTACCTCAGACGGATCATGAACCCACTGGCCATCCACAAAGAATTTATACTGGTGTTCCCCTTCAGGAAGGTCCAGAATAGCAACAAAGTCATTGTGGCTAAAAGGAGAGGAAGAAATCCAGATTGAGAGACAGCATCCTAAAGCTTCATAAAGCCACCACTTGAATCTAAGTAAGAATTAGGGTTATCTTTACAGCCTGGTCAATGGCAAGAGGGGGAAAGCAAAAGAAAAAAACCAGCATAAACACATGCAATTGCAAACCAAAGGCTATAAAGCTGCCTCAGTACACTTTTGTGTTGAGGTATATTATATATGCAAATCTTACGCATATTTTCTAGAAATAAGGGCTAGTTCACACACAGAAATGTATGAGGAAAGAAAGCCTAATAACATGCTTGTACTCGTCAAACAAATTATTGCTTCTGTCAACTTGTGTCCGTTATCTGCTCCCACAGTTATTTAACTAGATGGTTGGGTTTTTTTTTTACAAATGTTTTTATTGAAATCTTATCATGTGAAATAAAGAAATTGAAAAAAAGAAATCCAAAGACAGTATTTCCTTTACATTGAAAGTGGGAGAACATTTGCTTGTATAAAAAGTAGAAAAAAGAGAGAAGAAAAAAGAAAAAGAAGAAAAAAGAGAAAAAAAATGAAACATTTGAAAAACCTGAAACTCTAAAAACTATAAAAAATAAAAATAGATATTTGTTGACTTCCTTTCGATGCTTTTGGTGGTTTAATCTGAGATAGAAAATCCATGAATATGGAAGGCTGACTATAAATTCTGTATTTAATTGATGTATGCAATGAGAGTAGATTAGCTCGTTTTAATGTAAATGCTCTATATAAGATGGGAGAAAAAACAACCCATCTTTCCAAATATACACTTACAGAGTTTCAGGCAAGTTAAAATCACATATCATTTTTCTTACCTTTTAATTAAAGGTATTTTTGCACTCCAGTTGTTAAAGGATCCCGAGATGAAGACTTCCTTGCCTCCATCAGTCCAACGAATGACAGTGGGCCGAGCCTGTTGATATGGCTTTACTGACTCATCCAAGTCATGATGCCATGACACAAATTCCTTTTCTCCAGGAAGCTGAAGTAGGAAAAAGATAGTTACATTTTCTACTAGATTTCCAATATACCAGAGTGACACTAAAGTGAAAACGTAAACTAATATCCTAGATCAGCAGTTCTCAACCTTTCTAATGCTGCGACCCCTTAATACAGTTCCTCATGTTGTGGTGACCCCCAACCATAACATTATTTTCATTGCTACTTCATAGCTGTAATTTTGCTACAGTTATGAATTGTAATGTAAATATCTGATATGCAGGATGTATTTTTATTCACTGGACCAAATTTAACACAAATGCACAATATGCCCAAATCTGAATATTAGTCGGGGTTGGAGGGGTTGAGTTTGTCATTTGGAAGTTGCAGTTGTTGGGATTTATAGTTAATCTACCATCGAAGAGCATTCTGAACTCCACCAACGATGGAATTGAARCAGAAATGGCACACAAATCTCCCATGACCAACAGAAAATACTGGAAGAGTTTTTAAGTTGTAGTTTATCTACATCCAGAGAGCACTGTGGACTCAAACAATGATAGATCTGGGCCAAACTTGGCACAAATACTCAATATGCCCAAATATGAACACTGGTGGAGTTTGGGAGAAATAGACCTTGACACTTGGGAGCTGCTGGGATTTAMAGTTCACCTACAATCAAAGAGCATTCTGAACCCCACCAATGATAGAATTGGGCCAAACTTCCCACACAGAACTGCCATGACCAACAGAAAATGCTGTGTTTTCTGATGGTCTTTGGTGACCCCTCTGACACTTCCCTTGCGARCCCCTGGTTGAGAAACACTGTCCTAGATGCAAAGATGACATAATCAATATGTATTTTAACTCGTTATTATATGATGTTTTTAGATTGTACTATTAACATTGAATCCTTGCTGTAAGCCGGTCTGAGTCCTTCTACGGAGGTTGAGAAGATTGGGATATAAAATTTTTAAATAAATAAATAAATATAAAAAATCAGACTCATGAGAAATATTCCTTTTTTCCAGCTTGTTAAAGAAAGCATAATTATTCTTTCCATATAATGGCAAAGCATGCTCAGGTTTCACAGCTGTGAGGGTACAATGTCTAAACAACTCTTTTTCCTCAGCATGTGTCTGCTGGTCATGTTTAGAACTAAGCAAAGTAAGTTTGGTTTCTTGTTGTATCCAAACTATCCTGTAAACAAACCATGGTATGATAACTACCTGCAAGCTTTCTTGATTTACAAACCTTTCACTCAATTGAATTACAGCTTGTTATTTCATCTGAAATTGTCACTGGCTTGTTTCCCTAGCTGCCTGCCTACTCTTAAACTAGAGGTGACAATGTTTAATGTCTGTATATTTGTATATTTTAAATTATGTACTAATACTTTTATGTTAAACCACTTTTGAGTTCCCTTCGGTAGAGATAAAGCAGGGTATAAATAAATATAATTCAATATAATAACAATAAATGGGGAAAACAATTTGGGGATCGAATTGTCTGATATCAATGCCTGATTAATGCAATTAGTTAAGGCCAAGCATGCCATACAAATGCAGATTATGGATGAGCAAGTCACATGAAAGCAACCTAATGTTTAAAATGAGTATGTATTATTATTATTATTATTATTATTATTATTATTATTATTTTGCTGCTTGGTCCCACTTAAAAGCTACTGGCCTTTCTGGTAGAATACTGATAGCTTTGTTAGGCATTGTAGACAAAGTGGGGTCTAGAAAGGTGTAGCAGAGACACAAGGAACATTACTTTATGCAACAGCTTGGTAAGCCTCAAATAACAGTCAAAACCCCTTTTTTTCAATTAAGTGTCAATTACACCCACATATACCAAAAATATTTTGCAAGCAATGCTGTTTGTATTCCTGTCTTGGAAAAGTCAAAAGGCATGATCAAGCAGAGTCTCTTTCAGAGGGTCAAAGTTGCTATGAAATAACCATGCTTGTACCTTGGACTCATGTGTGCTGAAAACATTAGGATCATCAGTGCTTCCAACCATGATCTTGTTTGAATGATCCTTAGCATGTTGGCTGCTGCTACTTCCATCAGAACGATGAGACTTGGAGCTGTGACGTTCCCCAGACACCCTCTCACTCGTGGTGTTCCCCATGGCAGAGGCACTGCATAAAGATGACAAAGGAAATGACTGAGCACACAATTCTTTAGTCTGTAATTCAAATAATCTATTCACAGTGAGCCAATAAGTAGCACTGCTTCTTCCTTTAGATGAGTGATCTCCAAAGCTAGGTCTCCAGACATGACTAGAATTGAACTCTCAAAAGCCCTATCAGCGTGGCAAATGGTCAGGATTCACAAAAATGTAAGCCAAGAAGTTTAAACAGCCACCACCGTAATCCCCAAAATCTGGTCGACACGACTTCCGCTTCCACATACAGTTACATATTATTCATCAAGATGTAGTGACATTATTCTTCTACAGTTGGTCTGCATAACAATTTTAGGCCGCTGAAATCAAAACTGTTTTCTGTCACCCTGAAAGGTCCCAGATAGCAATGTCACACACACTGAGAAGGAAACATACACCGCAGAAGCTCACAGAGTGAAGGCAGCAGCTGTTCAGGAGCCTTTGACAATGAAAGCCAGGAAAAGTCCTAATTCCAAGCAAAACTTCAGGGGTTGGGTGAAATTGCTCAGGTAAACCTTTGCAAGTGACATATCTGTAAAATTGGATAAATAATACATCATACAAACAGGAGCTCAAACTGATTAACCACCCTGCTTCAAAACCAGATTAGATTTTTATTATGCTTATTATTTATTTATTTATTTATTAGATTTTTATTATGTGCCCTGACATTCCAGATAAGGCTGTTGCTAATGATATCAATCAAAAGGCAGTATGTAGTTAGTCTGTCTTTTCCTTCTGAATTGAAGTCAGAGGAGGCTAGATTTACATGTAGAAAATGATGTCATCTTGAACATAAATAATCCTTCAAATGTTTTGAATGAGGCCGACTGACTGGATCAACTCATGTTACTTTAATCTTTTAACTTTT